CACGAACTTATAATTACTATGGTAACATTTATTTTTTTTATTTACGAGATAGTAGGATGTTCAATTGAACACGGTGGTCGTTATTTTTAAATTTTTTAAATTTAGTGAGTGGGGTTCTGGTTCTAATATAATATGTATTAAAAATAATAAAAATTATATATAGAACATTTAAAAATAATCAGAGAAGTTTAACCAGTGCCCCAAAGCCTTGAAAAGTTTAACATTACTAATATTTTAAACGTGGTTTATTATCTATATCTGTGATAAAATCAAATTTATATTAAGAGGACGCCACACCCGCATGTGTTGTCTCCGTCTTACAAACGCGTAACATAGCAAATTACGTCCACGGAAAACAAACGAATTACCATCAAAAAGTGGTTTTAGAGTAAAAATACCTATAATAAAACTTAAAGAGAACAATATTTCGGAGGGAACCTCATCGGGGTTTTGTATTAATCTAAATACACAGCTAGATATTGAAGGCACAAAAACTCTTTTTTTTAAATAACCACAACTTTTTTAATAGTTAATATTTTTAAAAACGCCGATGAGGTTCCCTCCAAAATATTGTTCTCTTTAAGTTTTATTATAGGTATTTTTACTCTAAAACCACTTTTTGATGCCGATTCGTTTGTTTTCCGTGGACGTAATTTGCTATGTTACGCGTTTGTAAGACGGAGACAACACATGCGGGTGTAGCGTCCTCTTAATTGCAATAATAGTCAGTGACGTATTTAGGAATTTTGCTGTTGGGGGATGAAATAAAAATAGTTATAATACAAAATCCAGTTTTCTCATTTTTTGGATGTTCATCGATAACCTCATCTGCCATTATTATTGTATTGACCGGTGACATGCCAATAAAGCCAACACATTAAGGAATAAGGGCCCGTATTAAAATAGGTTAAACCATGGAATTCAGCCTGTAAAATCAATGGGTTAAGTGTAACCTAGGGTGGCCAGATATAAAATACGAAAATACGGGACAAAGATAAGAATTTTTTATTATGAATAAACATCTATTTTTGATGAAATGCTTCAATATTTAAAGTCTTAAATCTTAATTGATTACTAACATACCTATACATATTTAACTTACTAAAATAATCTATTTTGGATATTTTATTACAATTGTCAATTTTAAGAATTATAAATATTTTTTTGTACTTATAAGTATAAACTATGATAAATTGATAACTATAATAATATAGTGTAATATGAATATTTGATTTAACTGGTGTTAGAAGTTGATGCTTGGGTATTTGTAAGTATTACAGTTTTAACTTTCGTTAAAAACACATTTTCTTTTAGGCATAGTTATTATTTTAATTATTATTTATTACTTATTAGTTCAACTGATATGATAGATTGTAAGATATACACAATAAATGTTCACAATTTGACGAAATGCTAAACGCTAACTGGCTAACTCGCTAACTGACTAACTGAGAAACTGGGGATGTATAAAAATTATAAATATTTTCACCGACACTACGAGAGATATCATTCTATTTACAAATAATATATACACATATTGTGCTATAATATTATTATGTCTCATCGTCGGTCGCGACGTCGTGATCGTAATCGTCTGTATGCGGGCTGTGATCCTTTACGACGAAAACCAAAAATAACTTTATATTCGAATAATCGAATTCGATACTTACAAATCGGTTATCGTAATAATATGGCAAAAACACCATTATTCTACAAAATATGCATAATTATATACGATATACATTTACTCCGTAGACCGTAATTGATATTTAATACAGATAGATGAAGATTACCTATATTTTTAATATTTAATTTTTTTTTTTACATATTTTCTATTATATGAAAAAAACGGGACAATATAGCGTCCCGGAAGCATATGTCGGGACAACGGGACAGACTTTTGAAATACGGTACTTTCCCGTATAATACGGGACGTCTGGCCACCCTAGTGTAACCGAGGTTTAAACTATGATTGTAAAACGGGCCCTAGTATATAATAATTACTACTTAATTTATAATTATTATTCAATATTAGATAGGATAATTGATAAAATATTTACTTCTGTCGTACTATTTATATTAGGTAAGACTTCTTAAATAATAAAAACGGTTTATGCCCAGTTCGCCGACACCCGGTTTTTTGATAAAAAAAACCAGTTTTTAATGGTTTTTAAAAAAAGCCCAATTCGCCCCCCAAATGATATTGGAAAATCCAAAACCCAAACCAAGTTTAAAATTTCGTAAGCTCGAAGAACAGTTGAAAAATGTTAAAGAAAGGTACGCAAAATATTTATTTTCACTATCTGGGTGATCAATGTAACATACTATAACAACTATTTAAAATAATGTGTAGACAAATGGATAGCATATTTATATCTATCTATATTTTAAATAATTATATTTTACTATTTCAGGTAAAGAGAAAACGAAATTAGCTCTATTGAGTATATTGATACCATTTTTTTTTTTTTTTTTTTTTTATTATAGATAAGAGGTTTCCCTAGCCATGGCGAGCTACAGCTAGTGATATGAATTAAAAGTTGCGTGTTAACATTTTGATATGAGAAGTTAATTAAGTAATTATAATAAAAAATGATAATAAAGAATCTTAATATAAGAATATTACAATATTGATACCATAAAATAATCATATTCGCATATAACTATTTTATTTTTATGGAACTCTTTATTATTATAACGCCTATGTCTAATAGGTTTTCTATATGTATATAATTAAACAGGGATTTGGAAAATATGATGACCATTATAAACCTATATTTTTTAAAATTAAATTTTATACTTTTTATTATTATAACGACTATGTAATATTTAATATTTAACTTATGTAATATAATTTTATAACTGAACCGTATTTCTTCAAATTGAGTGTCGGCAAACTGGGTGTCGGCGAACTGGGAATATACCATAAAAACTTGAAAAACTTCGTTCAGGTGAAGCAGTTGATACAGGGAAAGTACAAAATATTTTCAAGAGTTCATGAATATTTGGATAAACTCTTTATAACAAATATCTAAAGCATGTAAACCAGAGATGAATAAAATTTTTTCAGTCAATAACTACAAATCAGTCACTAAAAATAAACCCAAGCCCTATGGTAAATCTACAGTTTTCATGTTAATTTTGTTTTATTTACTAACTGTTTATCGCGTTTATTGTAAACACTCTTGCATGAAAAATAATTCGCAGAAAAGTAAAAAATACAGTACTTACACCATACTACCATAGAGGTATATATTTTTGTTGTCCGATATAGGTATATGCAATATGCCCATAGGCGTAATTTCGCTAAAATTCAGGGGGTGCAATTCCCAAACAGGAAAGTTAAAAATTTCTACAAAATTGCAAAATACCGCTTGAAAATTTACTTACCACTTTTTCAATTCCAGTTCCTCGATCAAAATTAATTTGTATACACAATTTAGTATTATCATTAATATGAAGTAAATAAATTTTATTATATAAATTAAAATAATTAGTAAGCACTGTAATTTATTAAATTGATATAATAAATATTAATACATAATAATTAACAAAATTAAATTAAACTTAAGCGTCTAACATGTACCTACAGTTGCTGCTGCATTGAACTCGTCGATTACAATTTCAGAATCTATTTATCTATAACTCGATTTCTATCAAATTTTTAAGTTGTAACATAGCTATATCAGACAGCCATATCTACTTGTCCCACAGTTGTTCTGAGGTAAGTTTTAAGCGTTCGTAATCAGGAAAAACTTCGTTCACAAGACGCAGTGTTTGTAGATATTGTCATAAAAAGTTTTAAAATTTCAGATAATAAAGGAAACCCATTTTTAATTTCACCTTGTTTCATATAATCTAATTTGTTTGAAATACACTATTTTTTGAGTTAGTTGATTTAGATTTGAACATTCTATTAAAGATATTTAGTTCTACTTGAAGTTCATGATTATCAAACTTATAGGTCTTACAAATAATGTCTAATAATGTTGACATTATTTTATAAATATTTAAAAAAATGGCAAAAATTATACATTATAAATAAAGGAAATTTTGGGGGTGTAAGTGCACACTTCTGCACCCCCGTGATTACGCCTATGTATATGCCACATATATGCCGCGAACGACTAGTGGCGTATAGTATATATCAGAGCGGTAAAATTACTACAGCTAGAACTTTTAGAAAAGTGAAAACAGACATACTTAAGAGAACGTCTCACCCGGATGTGTTGTCTGACTTGTCTCCGTCTTACACATCCCGTACGACATAGCAAATTTTCGTTTGCTAGTTTCAATAGGGTACTGTCAGTTTTGATATTAGAGTGAATCGACCTATTATCAAACTTTTAGGTAACAACATTATCTGTGTTCTCTCATTGGTTTTTTACGATATTTTAATTTTTAAGTGAGTTAGGTATGAACATTTTAGAATATGAATACTTTACATACCCATAACTCAGTTAAAAATTAAAATATCGTAAAAAAAAAACTAGAGAACACAGATAATATTCTTACCTAAAAGTTGGTAAGTGTAACTATACACAGTTCCCCATAAATAAATAAACATAATAATGGGTTATTAAGATATTATATTGAGGATTTCAATCGTTTACCTACTTCCGGGTGATCACGAGTAAAAAAGAAGAATTTAATATCGTGTACCGGGAAACACTGGATCCATTATCACTATAACCCCTACTCTTTAATTTTGTTTTGTCAAATGTGTTGCTATTACATTAGCATTTTGCAAATAATTTTGAAAAAAAAATAAATTGATTAAGCATTAAACTATTAAAGAATTAAACATTTGACTTTTGTTACAGTTTGTAAAATAATTTAACTTGTTTCCTTATGAATAACAATTTTAATGAAATAATTTTCTTAGCATTTGCATCAACAGTTAGGTAGTGCCATGTGGAGACAACTGATCCTCTCTTGATTCGCAAAATAATCATCGAGCCATATAACATATTCGTATATATATATGATATCTTCACACAATGTCCGAAGAAGAAGACAAAAGTACATTAAATAATGTCGACAATGCTGTGGCTAATCCACCGAGTAATGAAGGTGATAGTGACAGTCAATCAGATAGTTTATTAGTAAACGGTAATGAGAACACTCCTCCGTGTCAATTGGACATCGGTCTGGGTACTCATACGGATAGCAGACGTCATGACAATACTTTGAATGTAAATGGTAAGTACACATATTTGTATATTTCATAGTACCATTCACAATTATGTTTAGTTGTAAGCTTGTATGTTAAACTTAAACTTTTAAATTTTATTCACATTGAAATTGTCATAAACCATTATTGTATGAAGTCAATTAAGTTGGAATTCATTGGCTAAACAATTTAATGTATCTTATCATATAAGTTAATTTACTAGATATAACCCATAAACCATACTTTGTTTAAAGACATTAAAATAGTAGGTAGTTAAATGGAATAGTTGCTTATCAATAAAATGTTATTCCACCTTTTACATAATATTATATTATACTTATCTACAATTCATAACATGCTAAATCTTGGGTAGGACCTACTTTGAATATAATGTGTAATTGAAAATGCACAGTTATTGGAATGTTGCATTGTGGTACTGCATTCTTTGGTCCTTTCACCTTTCACTTAATTTAACTGTAGGTTGACACAATTTTTTTACTTATAGATCTTTTATTGTTAATTTATTATCAACAGCCCTCAATGCAAGGTAGTTAATAATATTTATAACATAGTCAATTAAAAAATAATTCTTTTTTTTTTTAAATTAGTTAAATTAATTTTGAAAACATTAATTAAATCATAAATTAATATTAAAATTACATTTTATTTACATTTTTAGTTTCTCAAATTAAACTATTTTTTCTTGAGTAAAAACTAATAAATTATTTAAACTTAATTTAACAGTCTGTAAAAAACAGATAATAATTTTGAAAAAAAAACTTATGTTTTGTTTAACCATTGATCATTGGTCATTACTATCCTTTTAGTTGTGTACATTTAAAAATAATTTATTGTGAAGCAGATTATATTATTTTTCTTTTAAAGTTTCCTTGTATTTGTTACAGATTTAATTATTTTTAGAATGCTAATCATAAAAATGTATTTTCTAATAGACTCTGGAGAAGCTACAGCTTGCAGTATCAAGCGTGAAGATAATCTTTTATCATTTAGACATTTTTTATGCAACAATGGACACAATCAAACATCAAAACCCAAAGTTGAAGTTGTGCCTAGTGTGTCACAACCACTGAGGCCATTAACAGAGACATCAACCTTACCAGACTTTGTTCAGGATCATATGACTACTGATCAACCTTATGACAATGGTGATCTGGATTCTCGGTCAAATAGTATTGATTTGACACGTGGGATAAATCGACCATCCATGTTCGGCAACCGTAGCAACCGTACACCTCAGCAATGTGTGGTTATGCCACTGGATCTTCCATTCACCAATACAACAACACAGCCTCGTGCTACCACACCTACAACTACCAACAGCTTGCCAGATTTTTTGTCTGATGGCCCGATTGGGGTACCAGTTGTTCATCCCGTCACCAGGAACGAACAGCTAACTGATCGAAACCGTATAAGCATTACCATAAACCCTCAACGTGGTGCTACACCAATTAACCAGAATTATACCAGGTTTCAAAGGTTTCTTTTATTTTGGTATTGATTACCTTCCTTTATCTAATTTTATCTGCAGTTAATTAAATCTATTTTACTTATTGTTGACTATTATTGTTAGTTAAGGTTGCTATTCATTTTAATTTTCCGGAACACTCATCACCTATTTTGAGTACAGTAGTGTCCAGGTTGTTATGTGAGCTTTGTCTTTGGGCTTCTAAGGTTTAGAATTGTGTAATAACTAGTGTGCCAAATACCTAGTTAGAATTGTAAAAAAAAACAATGTTTTTTATAAAAGTTAATTTGAATAATATGAAGTTAATTTTTATGTATCACTGAGATGCGTTCTAATAGGGAGCTGGTATAGGGTGTATCATTATAATAATTAATTGGTTCTATGACAATCAAGTAACGACACAAAGATTTTTTTGGTGGGAAATAATTTTTAATAAATGGCAACTACTAATTGCAGATAAAATTATCATAAATTTAAAACAATATTTTGTAATTAAATATTATGTTTTAGACACAGTGAAGTAGTTGATGCTAGAGTAGCTAGGCTAGAAGCAACAGAACAAGACTTAAGAACAACTATATTGAATTTAAATAATATGTTACAACAAACACTTGTAAGTTACTATTTTTGTTTCAATGATAAATTTAATAACTAATTTTAAATTTAAATACACATACTTTTAAAACCAATGTACTATGTGATTTGATTCATTGAACAAATTTCAAACACAAATAAAAATAAATAAATAGCAAAATGTATTGTTTATAGATAAGGGCTCAAAGAGCTGAGGATCAAGTGATATCTTTGAGAACCTTATTGAGGGCTAGAGAACAAGGCCTTAATCCTGGGAATTTATCAACGATTCCATCGACTATATCAGTTGCTGAACAGATACGCCATGGTACCCGAAATGCCGAGATAATGCTTAAGTGAGTTTGGTTTTAATCGATTGTAATCTATGTAATGTTTTTATTATTTTTTGAATGAAATTGATAATATATAACATTTCCATACAGCTTGTTGAGGGATAACTATCAGGACTTGAACAATGTGGCAGCACGCCTCGAGCAACAGGATACCATTCAGACTTCCAATACCCAATTGTCAGTTGACCCAAGTGATACAACTGATAACAATGTCACATAACATTCCTGTTATATAATTATATTAGTTGTACACACATAATAATTGAAATTATTTCTTCATTATGTTTTATAAGTACTTGTTTACATTTTGTGCAGATTTATTGCCAAGACTGGACCTCAATTGTTTTGTTTTCTATATAATGATTATTATTATTAGTATTATATGTATTGCCATTCAATGCTTAAAGTTGTTTTCCCATTTTTTTTATTTAGAACGCAAGTATAAAGCAATAGTAACTTTCTTTTTTACAAATACTTCAACAGACTGTACGTTTCTATGAAACTAAAAATATAAAGGGACACAAGTATATTCATCCAAAAACAAAATGTGGGATACATTTTTCATGATTGTTAACCAAATACATTAATTTTTAACTAAATAGAACTTATTATGTTATCACAGTGACATTTTAGTTGTAGATAAGATTAACAAAATAAAATATATTTTATTGATAAAAATAAAATTTTGTTGTATTTACCTGTGTTTAATTTTAAAATTATTATACTATTTATTTGACAATTGATATGAACAATTAGAAAAGCTATAGCTTACAATTTTTAAAATACTATAATCAGTTTAAATTTGGTCTAATGTAAATCATATCAATTTTTAATTTATTAAATACAAACAAACAATTGTTTGATTACATTTTGGATATTAGCTAGTAGAATACTGTAAAAGAGCACATTCTGGTTAAATTAGTTGTCAATTAAAAATAAATATGCTTAAATATGTTAAATTAATTTAATAACATGTTTTAGATCACATTATATTGATTTCTTTTAGTTTAATATTGTTGATAGTTTGTATAGTGCAGGGGTGGCAAACTATAATAGACTTGTGATCGACCTCCAAGTTTTTCCAGGTTGTTGAGAAAGACAAAAAAAAAGTCAATAAACAAATATATATTTTATGTACATGAGTGTTACACTTCGTTTATTACCTTTATTTAGAACATAAATAAGTATTAAAACGTTTAATTTCACAGTTTTACATAGCATGTATTTTAATGTTTTATTTATTGAAAATTAAAAAAAAATTTGAAAAGGACTCAATTAACCAGTCGGGCACCCCTGGTTAGTGTACATGAGTATAAATTACGTCCAAAGTATCATTCTAAGGGCCGTACATGTTTTCGCCCAAAATCGACCTTTTGGTTTTTGCCCAAATGACCTTTTTTACCCAAACACAAAAAAGAGTGATTTGGTTTTCGCCCAAAGAAATATTATTTATAGTAAACGAAAAAACATTTTGGTTAACACTGTATTTTTTTTTTTTATTGAAAATGTGTCTAAATGACTACGTATACCTACATAATATTTAATAAACATAAGTTTATAGGTGTAAAACATCTTAAAAAATAGCATAATAATAAAAATACAATTTTAAAGATTTTAAATGATATGTATAAGTGTAAAACATATGAAAAAAAATAGTATAATATTAAAAATTCAATTATTCGTCGAAGTTATGGCAGATATAGATTAGTGTAAAACATACTATAAAAAAAACCAAAAAAATAGTCAATGTAAATAATATATGTAAAAACACAGAAAACAGATTTTAAATGATATATATATATAAGTGTAAGACATCTTAAAAAAAATACTATAATATTAAAAATCCAATTATTTGTCAAAGTTATGGCACCTAACGAATAATCGTATAGTTGATTATGTGTACAACTGTCGTCGTATGTACCAATTTTCAAACCAAAATGTTTTTACATATATTTTTTACATTGACTATTTTTTTGGTTTTTTTATAGTATGTTTTACACTAATCTATACCTGCCATAACTTCGACGAATAATTGAATTTTTAATATTATACTATTTTTTTTCATATGTTTTACACTTATACATATCATTTAAAATCTTTAAAATTTTATTTTTATTATTATGCTATTTTTTAAGATGTTTTACACCTATAAACTTATGTTTATTAAATATTATGTAGGTATACGTATAGTCATTTAGACACATTTTCAATAAAAAAAAAAAATTCAGTGTTAACCAAAATATTTTTTCGTTTACTATAAATAATATTTCTTTGGGCGAAAACCAAATCACTCTTTTTTGTGTTTGGGTAAAAAAGGTCATTTGGGCAAAAACCAAAAGGTCGATTTTGGGCGAAAACCGATTCGCCCATTCTAAAATCCAGATTCACGGTAATTATATCACGGATATTATGTTAACATTTAAACATATTTAATTGCTAATTTTATACTTTCAATAAAACTAAATATGGTGTATCTAAAATTAAGTCATTTAAATAACTTATTTGAAGTACTTAAAAACGCTTAAACGGAAAATAATGAAAAAAAAAAATTAACCAAAAACGAAAATAATCTAATATAATTAAATAATTATGATTAAAATAAACAATAAACATAACACAAATAAAGTTATTCGAAATAACATTTGTGCTCAGGGATCGAAACCGTTTCAAATTTTAACGGTTACGGTTTCGGTTTTTGAAAATGGTTTTCTATATTTTATGGCTTTGGTTTAGGTTCTAAGATTGGTTTTTAAAATTTTTTGGTTTTGGTTTCGAAAAAGGTTTTTCAAATTTATCGGTATCAAGAATGGTTTTTGAAAATTTTCGGTTTTGATTTTTGGAACAGTTTTTGATAATTTTTTTTTCTTTACCGAATAACTGCAGACCCGATTTTTACTATCTATTTACTATTTAGGGCTGAAAGCCCTAAAATATGTCCGTTTTGTATAACTAGTGTAGGTACGTACAATATAGCAAATTTAAGTTCAGCAGAACTAATTTTGTGTTGTTAACTTAAATATGTTATAGGTACCTACTTTTGCATACACCATATAACATATGGTTGAGATCATTATTTGTTTATATTAATATTTAATTGTAATTTACAATAACATCACACCAGTGGCGTGTATCATAAAAAAAATTGGTGTTGCTCAAATAATTTTAGGTGACCTACCCCTCATAATAATGTTATACCGGCCTATAAAATTACCTATTTTTTCATCTATAAACACCCGCCCACCCTTATTTAAGGTGTTGCCCGAGCAACACTTAGACTCTATGTTACACGCCACTGCATCACACTATATTACAGTATAATAAAACTCTTGTTATGTGATTAATGGTTATGATATTTGAACAAAATATTAATTTAAATAGATACTAAAAAAAGAGTATTAGACTATTGAAAATATTGTTATTTAAAAAGGTTTGCTGTTAAGATTCAAATATACGTTATAAGATTTGGTACACACATTTCTAACTTAGGGGATTCTGAGGAAAATGATGATAATGACATAAGCAATTGATGACTGCGGGGCGGACGCGGATCAGTCGAATACGAAACAATTGTAATAACATTAATAAATAATAATATTCATAAATACATCAAATAACAAGAATATAGATGTGCATAGCTGCATTTATAGGGGCGAAGAAATAACAATAATTGTTATTTTTTCGCCCCCATATATACAATTATTGTGATATTTGTATTATAAATTTGAATCAGTGAGTATAGTAATGGTATTAAAAAATGTAAATAGAATAATATTCGTATTACCTATTAATATTTCATAATAATCAGTTATATCATCGGTATTCAAACAAAATATTTCTTCGCATAAAAATACTCGTTTTAACTAGAATTATAAATAATATAGGTAGGTAATTAACTTTATAAAATTCGAAGAAACCGATATTAGTTTTAAATTTTAATCGGTTTCAAGAACGGTTTTTCAATATTGATGGTTTCGGTTTAGGTTTTCCAAACGGTTTTTTAAGATTTTTGGTTTCAGTAATGGTTTATTAACTGGTGTTTTAAAGCTTTTGGTTTTGGTTACGGTGTTGAAATATGAAAAAACAGCGGTTTTAACCGGTTTCGATCCCTGTTAGTGCTTGTTTTATTTTTTACGTTGAACATTCCTATTGTTTTTATATCTTGTAGTCCATATAAGTATGAATCATAAGTTATAACTATGAACAATTCAAGGTTGGCAAATCTATGTTAACAGTAATTTATATTTTTGAAATACTTTATCCCTGTTTGATTTATAAATATTACATTTAATAGAATATTATTTTATTTCTGTAATTCATATTTCAATAAGATACAAAACTGCAAGTGCGTGGAACATTATTATGTAATTTCAAGTTGTATTATTGTTATAAATATATATGGTTTTTAATAAAAGATTCATCTTTCATTCATTCCACAATATTTAAACAATATTTGACACCTTGCCCGTTATAGCTACTTACTAAAAATCCTAGGATGATTAAAAATAACCTATCTTGGACAACAAATTTTACTAATTTGCTAGTTCTTACGTCAAAGTGTGATTAATTACCTATCTATACCAAAAATAACAATATAATTTATAAAAAAAAATTAAACAATAACAATTAACATTAAAATTGTATAACATTTAAATATATAAAAACGATATATTTATTTTCAATTTAAGGTTATTTGAACTGAACTCTGTACCAAAATACATTTCTAAATTACACATATTATTCAGAAATATTCAGTTGTCAGTCTCATACTTCTTAAAGTTAATCTTTAAAAAAAAATCATAGTTATAAATTAGTAATAATTTGCAATGATAGGGAATGTGGCTAGCATTTATTTAATTATATATGTAGTATGTATATTGTATATATATATATATATTAAGTACTAAAAATGTATACCTTACAAACTTTACTAAAATATATTATTATTGGTTTAGAATCAAATGATTATAAATACAGTGTTGGGTAAGTTACTTTACTCGTTACTAAGAAATAAATATAAATGTAATTAAGTTACTTTACTCGTTACTCAAATAAAATTACTTTACTTTTCAAATAGAAAAGTAACTCATTACTTTCTCGTTACAAAAATAAAAAAAAAATTTTAATTTATTTACAATTATCTTCTGCAGGCAAAATTGAACAAGCAAATTTTTTATAAAATATATACAATTTAGGCTTCCACACAAACTATATTCATAGGAAACCTATTTAAAGCAATAAAATTAAATAATAAATTTAATTAACTATTCTCAGGATTTACGGTGCAATTAGACATTTCAAATGTCAAAACCATTGAAAACTGAATTGTTTTGAGTTAAAATTAAATATATATTCATAGTAAATTGGTAAATATAATAATACCCACATTATTTTTTCAATTCGCAATAGGTAGATAGGTAACTTAATAATTCGAAACTGTAACACGTTATTCTATAGAAATTACTTTTCAAAAGTAATTTTCATTACATTTTCGTTAATTGGAAATAATTCTAATGAAATTACATAACGCTACTACCCAACACTGTAGAAATATAAGATGGTAATTTTTATAATATCTAAATCATTACATTTTGTTAACATTATCAATATTAAAATATTTTTGATAAATTATCAATTTACTATTGAAGGAAAATCCATGAAATATAATAGAATAATCACATACTAATAATTGTAGATATCATAAAATGTAAACTATATCTTACAATAGTGTGAATTTTGTAGTAGGGTATAATAATTTAGGTTGGTAAGGTCAAAAATATAATTTTATTTATTAATATTTTTTTCTTAAGCAAATAACAAAGCTTAATTTATATATTATTATTATTTTTTTTGACAATAAAATAATGTTTGTTAAAATCTCATTAAATTCATAATAGATACTTACGCGTTAGTACAAAATTATATATATAAAGTAATTTTCTCAAGTTAAAATATTTTAATATTAGTAATCAGAATCAGAATCATCAAGAGCAGCTCTCCTTCGATCAAACTGAAAAATACAAATTTAAAGCAAATAAATAAACATTATTATGTCAACTACCTATACTCTATTCTAAATAAGATCGAGAATAGGAGGCCGAGTTGTGCGCATGAGAACAGTGGTAGCGCTTGACGCGTCGGCGTAGTGGGGACGGCATCTGGCCAATTGGTCATATATTTGACGAAAACTTGTCGCCGCCGACTCCCGATCTTATTTGGAATAGAGTATAGTACTATATAATTAATTGTTAGAATAGTTGTTATGGGTCAACATAATTTACCTTCACTGTAGTTTTGCGTTCTTGTGACTGCATTTGACTGTTGACTTGTTCTAACAAACCGATCAGTTCATCTTCTCCCAATTTATTAACAATCTGTCCAGATTGTGCCATCCTGAGTAACATGTTTTCTACCATACGTCCTTTTTCCGGTTTACCAATCATCAAAGTGTTCACTGTATTAACAAAACAAATATTATATTGATGTCCATATTTTGTTAGACTTAAATACTGAAATCTTACGTCTTGCTCGAGCAGCTTGGTTTAATACTTGGGTGAGTATTGAGTGTTTCATGTCTTCAACCGCCTGACGTTGTTGTTCTGCTTGTTTTTGCTTTTCAGGATTATCGCCTTGAGACTAAATAAAACAAAAATCCAGTCGATGTAAGTGTATAATAATGATAAAAAAAATCAATACACTAGGTATAACTATTATAGAATATAGCTCCAGTGTTTCACTTACTCCACCGAGTTCTGACTGCATCTGGGCCATCCTCTTTGAGCGAAGGCTTTCCAGTTCAGAATCGTCCATTTTGGCTGTTGGGTTTCTGATGACAGATTAATGTCCAACAGCAGCAATCGAATTCGATTGAACACCTAAATGCAGTAGACTTCAAATTTTACCTTTTCGTGGTCAGTAGATTTGACAAGAAATATAGAAATGTGTCTAATTTGTGAATAAGCATTTGCACGTTAGTTGTGCAGGGCAAAAAGCTTTAATGCAACGAAAATTATGCGTCTGGACTATGAATGGGTACAGGTCGAATTTCGAGGTTTGAAAGACGTAGGAATCAAAATGTAAACACGAGGAACGATAACGGATATCGTGCCAAAGGTGCAGGGTTGCCAATGTAATGTTACCACAGAATAAATTATTGTTCGCTTTCGCTACGAACCATAGACTATAGACATATAAATAAATATATTTATTTATATTATGTCTATGCTACGAACACCACAAAATAATATGAAAATCATAGAAAACCTAATCACCCTGTTGGATTACATTATTACATTTTTTTCGTAAGGGGGCCTCCATAGTCCATACTATAACTGGATTCTAAGGAACATTTACATTTTATAGAATATTTCTTAGGCATTCAGAAATTAGCCTTGTCGTTGGGTTACATAGATATTATAAGATTCTTATGTAGTTGGTTGGTCGTAAATTCGTAAAATGATCGTTAGTAGTACCTAACTAGTAGCATAGAACGGGTGCTGAACGTTTAGTGACATAACGTTTAGTGACATTGGCCCAAAAGCCAACACCTTTGGGTACAAATAGATACAACGCTTGGACACACAAAATAAAAGGTATTTTATAATTTTAATTGGTAAATCAGAGAACGTTTAGGTACACAATACACATACATATTATACAGGACACGTTTGGGTACACTTTATAAACACGGATCTATAAGGTATTTTATTTTTAACAGGCAATTTTTATTCTGAGTGAAACAATGATACAATGATATGTGTTTTTTAAAATTTTTTTTTGTGTCTTTCATCACCTTTTAGGACAGTAAAAGTGCTTGGATTTTCCTCAACAGTATCTTTTCTGATAGGAAAGTGAATCTAGTTGGTACTTTGGGGGGTCAAAAGTAATAATTTCTCTGTAGTTTTCAAAAGCGACGTGAAAAACAAAAGAAAAATTAAGGAAAAATGGGAATTTTGGTTTTTGGTCCAACTCTAAAACAAATTACCGTAGATAGATGAAATTTTTACTGACTGTTTATATTATCATTTTCTATACACTATTCCTTTTTAAAAATATTTTGAGCTGTTTAGGGACATTTTCAGTTTCTAATTTTTTTTAGTTTTTTATTCTATAAATATCAATACAATATTATACCTATGTTGGGTACAAAAGCTTGAAAATTTAATAGAAGGCTCCTACTATATTGTTACAGTAGTAGTTCAAAAAGATTAAAAATCCTTAGTCACAATTTTTTTTTAAGCATTTAAAGTTCAAATCTTGACAAAATACGGAAAAATCACGAAAATTAACAAATTATTTTGAGTTGAGAATTCATAAATTTTTTTTTTTAAATCTAAGATTTGAAAATGTAATACAAGATTACTCATAAGTTTATCTACCTTTATCAAATAAAAAAATCTCTACCGGAAAGTCAAATTAAATTTTTATGAGCCTTTGAAGTTCATATTTTTACTGCAAGATTGGATATTCACTTTATTTTTCATGTAGTGGTTTTGTTATTTTATCGTTATTCAAAAACGAATAACTGTAGATACATGACAATTTTACTGAATGTTTATATTTTTTTTTCTATACACCAAAAAAATTTGAAAATATTTTGACTCTTTTTGAGCGGTTTAGGTACGGACATTGTCAGTTTTCAATTTTCTTATTTTTTTTTCTATAAATATCAATACAATTTTATTTGTTTGGTAAAAAAGCATGAAAATTTAATGCAAGGCTCCTGATATATTGTAACAATAGCAGTTGAAAAACATTAAAAATACATAGGCATAATTTTTTTTTATAAGCTTTTAAGGTAAAATTTTGACAACATTTATCATATTTTAATTTTAATAATTATTTTTTTAGTTAAAAATGTATAAAATGTTAGTATAGCTCTTTTATAGCTAATTATTGAAAATTTGAAACAAGGGTCCACGTAAATAGGTAATTATATAAATTAGGTACTTTATTCACAATAATATCATCAAATAATGAATATAGGTAGGTAAAATCATAGGCTGACTGACCGTTTTTTTTTCTATGAATGTCAATAAAACTTTATTTGTTTTCAACTTTTATAGCTAAGGAATGAACATTTAAAACAAGATTCCACGTAAATATTATATATAAAATACTTTAGTCGCCTTAGTATCATCAAATATACTTCGTAATATCATAGGCTGACTAACCGTTTTCGCTCCGAATCGTTTTTCCTATACAATGATATTATATCATTGAATTCAAATTTAATACCATCCATTATACAGTGGCCCACTTGTAACCTACTGCGTACAGCAGAGCACCTTTTTTATTATGTACTTAATATTATATGATTAAGTCTGCTCTTAAGTCAGATTGATTATTGCCCATATCTTTCATAAATTTGTTAATGACGGTTGTGATTAATGAAATGAGAGGATTTAATATTAATTTGAACGAAATAATATTACGAATAATACTTTTTGAACCATAAAAAATAGTTAAAACTATTATTTTTTATTTAAATATCAAATTGAACATACTATTAATATGTCTATAAAAAAAATGGTTTTCGAGGCATTCAAAGAAAACCCTAATTTATGAGGCCCTTTTATTTCTTAATTTCTATTGCAAGTATCTCATGAATCATGATAATTACTATTAGCCATTTATTTGATTTTTTTTTTTGTTAATAAATTTTTTTATAGGTAAATGTGTGTGTAATCTTATTAATATTATAAACACTAAAGTTTGTGACTTTGTTACTCTTTTACGTAAAAACTATATTGAATGGATTTTAATGAAACTTTACAATAATATAGCTTATACATCAGAATAACACATAGGCTACAAATTATCCCCTAGGTCCAACCAGGGGATGTGCTCAAACGGGGATTTAGAGATTTACGGTGGAAATTTTTGTTTATAAATGGTTGCCATGGGTTTTAAAACTATTATAATAATAATTATTGGTTCCCGTGAAAAATCAGTGTATTCATTCAATGCATTTAATTATTTTGTACTCTGTGTTTTTTTTTTTTTTTTTTTTTTTTTTTTTTTCCGTGGTATCGAGAACCAGAGGGGGGACCGCGTTAGCATTACTTCCCCTCAACATTACTTCCCCTCAGCATTACTTCCCCTCACTGAGCATTACTTCCCCTCATTAGCATTACTTCCCCTCAACATTACTTCCCCTCAAAGCATTACTTCCCCTCAACATTACTTCCCCTCAACATTACTTCCCCTCAGCATTACTTCCCCTCAACATTACTTCCCCTCAACATTACTTCCCCTCACCAATACTCTGTGTTATGTATCACAATTCACAATTACGTAAATATTGAGAGTATTATACTCACATACAAGTTACGTACGCGGTACATAAAACTATCACGATGCCTGCACGTTATTCGTGGACGAGGAGGAAATATTGGTCGACAGACTCGGCATTCACAATATTAGTCCAACCGTTTAGGAGGAGTTCAGTAACATACTTGGTATAACTTTGATACTTTAGAGTTAAATTATAATTTATAAAGTTACGTACAAACATCACGGAGTCCGCGATCTACCGCAGGTAGATTGCCTACCTGCAGATAATATAGGTACTGCTGCGAAGCAGAATTTTTATTCCGGGCAACGGAAAAGTTAAGATAAATTTATTATACAAATATTATTATTAAGAAAATAATTAATAGAATTAAAAGAATCTCTGCAAGTAGGCATAAAGTTAATTTCTAACCATTGGGTACTTTTTATATTATGTGTGAGTCAAAAAACTTAATTTTGTTATAGCAGTATGTACACTTATTTTTTTGAAGTCGTATGGAAGTCGTTAAAATTGTATTACCGACTGCCGTTTTGATTTGGTAAATATATTGACAGAGGGTTTCGTTTGTATAGCATAATATGAACATTATATGAATAGTTATTTTTCGAAGGGTGTATTTGATTGATTATAGCAATCAGCAACACATTCATATAATTGATGCTGAGACTATAGTTTACACAACACTTTTAAGGACACATGTAATAATATATTGATCAAATAGTGGGGTCAGAATACAATTAGTAGTCTATATTTATTTTCTTGAACCATGCCCCATGGGAGTATATGCCAGTATGGGACAAAAAAATCAAATTAAATGCAATACTATTCATGCAAATATATTTATATAATAAGTTTTAATAAGTTGATAAGAGTGTAATATAACCTACTTCTACTTCAAATAAAAACTGATCAATATAAACATAAAGTAGGTACCTAATCAATAATTAAGTGTAGATGGGGGTGAATTTACTAATTAGTGGCCTAGGATAAAGGAGATTTTGGTGCCCCTGGGCATAGACGTGTTCAGACTTTGGTGGCCGAGGGACAAAACAAATTTTTAAATTGTGAGACCTATTTTTTTTCAGACATGAAAAAACATTAATTTCTTAAGTTACAAAATTCACAATGGTAGGAATATTTTTTAATTATGATCAAAAAGTATAACCATTGTCAAAACAATAAAAATACTTTTTCCCACCCATTATACAAGGTAAACAATTGTAAAACTATTAGTTATTACCTATAACTAATCAGTAATAAATATTTTTATTTTCTGACAAAATTTAAATTATTTTAACAAGTAAAAGTAAAATATCTAAAACATTTTTGAAACGATTCTCGGCAATTGAATATTTTCAGCTGATAAAACCATTTTATCACAGGTTAGGTAAAATTTTATTTAATCTATGATATCACAGCGCCAGACCTGGTAGATGGGCATAACAGTATACTATGTCTATATGTTATGTAGTTATAAAGAATTGATGAACATAATATTATAATCACTAATTAATGATGGGTAACTAAAAAAATTACAATTAATCAAAATCTATAGGTACTGCAGGGTACACACCATACGGCATACGCATTTTTTTATCCTGGCATTATTTTGTTGGTGGCACAGTCTGCCCGGGGGGGGGGGGGCAGTGCCCACTTCCGTAAACATGCATATGCCGCTGGGTAGTCCATAATAAAAATTGGATATACTTACCGTGTATATTACATATTTTTAAATTTAATCGTAAATAAATATTTACCTATACATGTTGCATAATTTTATTAATTCATAGTTCATACAGTAATAAATATAAATGTAGTATTGTAGTATTATATACGTTTATATTTATATAAAACAATGTACGGCTAAACGTGATTAAAAACAAATATAAATATATTGTATAGGTAGTAGGTACCTAACAATTTACAAACTGTGTACGGTGTACCTACATTCCTTGGGTATCTCCATTCCTCTGCAATATCATCTATAATATGATTAAATAATCTTGCTATGATCATCTACAAAAAAACACACAAAACATACAGCACTCACTCAAATCCTATAATCACTCAACTATCATCCAAACAAATCCCAGGTAATCCACCCCGGCGCCTGAAAAAGAACTGGTGTAGGGACCTACTCACTCTTTAAATCGATTTCCACGGGGTGCCACCATTGGGTGACTTTCCCCTCCCTCTAATCATTCCCATCCCATTTACTTATTGTAATACATGTAACTATAGATTTTAAATAAAAATGTTTTTTTTCAAACTATCCAATACATCACCTTCAATGCTCATAAGTCATAATTGATAAAAATATAAATAATTTTTTTGCATTGGACTATTGTAGTTCTCAGTCGTATTTGTTATAATTGTGAGCCTTGAAAATGTGTTTTCCACTTTACGCCTCTGAGATGATATAATAATGTACTTATGTCTTATATTATTTCCTAAAATAACATTTATATTTTTAAAACCTATATTTTAAATAAACTCATATTATAGTTTTTTTATTTTTCGCCTATAGGCCTAAACCTAAAATGTTGGGGCCCAGGGCATATTATGCGCATAAGGGTATAAATATAGGAAGTTTTTGACGATTTATAATACGTGAAATTGATTTTATAGTACTGTACTAAGTAGTAAGAACCGTAGTAGTATGTCTAATATATATTTGAAGCTGATATATTATATCAGCGTCAAATATATATTAAGTCTAGGACTCTATATATATAGGTATATATATGCATGGGCCCTTGATTAAGCTGATTAAAATGTTCCTATTCAGCCTTTTTTTTTATTAACAGTGAATAATAAATTACAATGTATACCTAAAATAGTACAAATAGAACATAATATACATATTACCCTAGTATTTATAATCAATGATAATTAATAATACATGTTTACATTTTAAGGTAACGGGAATAATTGAATTTGGAAAGCACTTGCAGTAGTGCCACCGGACTCAACTGTTAAGCCTACAATATTTTAATGTCAAAATTATTTTTTGAATTTTTGTCCTATAGTGACTATAATAGTTGGATAAAATATAAAAATATAGGTACCTAAGTCTAGGTGGCTGTGTATTATGTAAATGATACACAATTAATAAAAAAGAATAGGTTCTTGTCGCATTTTAATAAAACATCTTCAATAAATGTTATCATTGACGATTGTTCGAATTAATTGTAATGCCTAATAAGCTAGTGTCATTTAAATGAATATGTATTGTTTATTAATTAGCATATTAAGTTATAAATGCTAAATGCTAATAATAACATTTTCGTTAGCTTATGTAAATTCAACCCGCCGACATCCCGCCAGTCCAGTCCGGCCCTGCAGTACATAAATTATAAATGTATAAAGTGTATTCGTATTTCAATGATGGATTCACTGCGGCTGTTGTTTCGGTCGTTCACGTTTATTGTTACTCAATTTGTTAGTCGAATTCTGTATTTCTGTTGTAGTCTTCTGAACGACAAACGATAAACATACTGTTATAATGAAAAATATCCGGAATAAATTTAAAGGTAAAAATTATGACAATAATAATAATAAAAATAATAATAATTAATAACAATAATATATTATATAGGTATTAGGTAAGTATTTTATATAAACATTTTTACAGTTCACCTTTGTAACAATTATTGTACTTATTTTATATTAGAAATTATCGTGACTCAAATAAATCAATTTTATCAAATGTTTCTCCTTTTATAAAAATGGTTCAATTACTTCTATAGTCATTTACTTAGGCTGCTATAGGTAGCTGCCAAAGATTATATATATAACTAGCTGATCCCGTGCACTTCGTTACCTGTTATATGTATCAACTCTAATACTCTATATGACTCAAACTTTGTTCAATTCATTAATTAATATTTAGCGTAGGTGTTCAAAATTTATCTTAACTTTTCCGTTGCCCGGAATAAAAATTCTGATTTGCAGATTGTTTCGTGATGTTTGTACGTAACTTTATAATTTAACTCTAAAGTATCAAAGTTATACCAAGTATGTTACTGAAGTCTGAGCTCCTCCTATATTTTAGATTCTGAGCGGAGCAAGGAAGCTAGTGGTTTTACAATGGTGTTTATTTTTATTTTTTTTTTTTTTTTTATATCCTGTATACAAAATTTCTACCAGAAGGAGTGCTTTGATTTCAACATATAGTACCTTATCTTTTAGCAAATTGGACCAAGATGGTACTTTAGAGAGGTCATTTTTCGATTTTCTCAATAGTTATTTAATGCCACGGGAAAAAGTACTGAAAAATTACGAAAAACCGCTTAAAATGGGATCTAACAATTTGTTTATCACCGTAGCAACGAATAAAAAAAATAATAATAAAATAAATAAAATAATTAATGACAATATAAAATATACAGACTGACAAACCGTCTCCGTTCAGAATCGTTTTTCTTATACAATGATATTATATCATTGAATTCAAGTTTAATACAATCCATTAAACAATGACCAACTTGTAACCTACTGTACAGCTGAGCGACATCCACTTACCTGCCTTTTTTTTAATCGTTGCTACGGTGATAAACAAATTGTTAGAAATTAAAATCCCATTTTAAGCGGTTTTTCGTAATTTTTCAGTACTTTTTCCCTTGGCATTAAATAACTATTGAGAAAATCGAAAAATGACCTCTTTAAAGTACCATCTTGGTCCAATTTGCTAAAAGGTAAGGTACTATATGTTGAAATCAAAGCACTCCTTCTGGTAGAAATTTTGTATACAGGATATAAAAAAAATAAAAAAATAAATAAATAAACACCATTGTAAAACCACTAGCTTCCTTGCTCCGCTCAGAATCTAAAAATAATAATAATAATAATAATCTAGGAAACTTAGGTATTTGAGTATGTCTATATAATAATTATGTGTAATGTGATAAATTTTAATTCAATGATATATCATTGTATCAATACGAAAAAACGATTTGAGTGAAAGGGGCCACCTGTTAATATTTGTTTCCACAGATTTTTATACTACTAATATTATATTTATATTACTATTTAGAACATTTAGCCTATTTAGATATACTTATTTTTGGTAAGTATTTTTATGACTAGGTATAGATACAAATAATTTTTCAAGTCAATACCTACCAAAAAATCTACCTCAAAATGTGTGAATAGGTTTCAAATATAATAAACTATGAGTTATATTTTACTATTAATATAAATATATAATAAAATATAATAATCTATAATAAACTAATATAAACAAAATATAAGTCAAAATATTTCGAAAATTTCATTGTGATATTGAGTGTATAAAAAATGATAATCATATAACTTATAACAGAAAAGTGTTTCAAGTTTCTACGATTCATTATTTTTAATTACAATACAAAATAACTAAAATCGTTATTTTAAAAATTGTTATTTTCCGTATACCTTTACAATTTGGTCAAAATTTGAATTTCAAGTGATTGTAAAATATAATAGTGAATTTAGTTCCGATTTTTCAAACAGTTGTTGAGATTCAGCCTGTAAGAGTAACTTATGAGGAACTTTGCATTCAATTTTATTTAGAAACAAAATTTTTGTCAACATAAATTTAACACGTTCACTGTCCGTTGTGTTTAATTAAAACCAAATTGATCAGTCCTATGATCCATATATGGGTCACGTTAAACTTATTTGATCAGTCCATGACCCACATGTGGTTCATTTCATACATTTATTTCCCTGTAGTTTATTTTTATGGACTACATGCTATGCAATTCATAATAACACAGTGGACTGGTGAAATGATAAGCTTTCTAATGAGCTTTCAATTTTCAATGGGGACTTATCAATAAATAAAAAATGAACCACATATGGGTCATTGGACAGTGAACGTGTTAAAAAACTTAATAAGACTATATAAGAATATTATAATACTCCAAATGTTTATAAATAGTGCAAAAATGTTTTGAAATTGTATAGGTAATATTTAGAAAATTCTAATAGTATTTTCTGAATTACAATAAAAAAAAAAAATTAGATATGTATACCTAGGTTTTAATACCATATAAAACTTTTATTTATTTGCAACGACTATAGAAGGCTATATAAATGAAATTTAATTTTAAAAAAAAAAATGTAAAATTATTCAAACATCACTGTAACAACAATAATTTTAAATTATCATATGTACATATACATACATACATTTACAGCCATATCCTTCATGTTAAAATGTTAAATTGTCGATAATATAATATATATACCTACTGACCTACTGATTAATGTTATACCTATTTATATTTTATATTTTATTATATAGGTAATTATAATTTATAACTCATAAGGCTATATATTGTCATATATATTGAACATGGAAGACTGAAGTATATTTTGTAAATTATAAATTATAATATTTATAAAATATATTTATAAATATTAGAGTATAAAGTCTTATACGTCACGCGTGGTATTTACTAGCATAATATGTTGTTTCCGTCTTCCTATCGTATAACATACCAAAATTTACGTTCAGCAGTTCCAGTTTGTGATTTTAGGTTAAATATTGGAGTGACCTATTGTTAAACTTAAAGGTAATAATATCTGTGTTCTCTAGATAGTTTTTTACAATATTTTAATATGTAACTGATTTACGAGTAGGTAGGTATGCAGAATATTATAATATTTAAAAATATTCATAACTCAATTAAACATTATAATATTGCAAAAACCAACGAGCAACGAGAGAACACAGATAATGTTCTGACCTTTGATAGCAATAATATGTTAATTTACTCTAATTTTATATTTTATCTTACAACACAAAATTTAAATCGCTAAACTCAAATTTTTCTATATTGTCCGTTTGTAAGACGAAGATTTCACATGCGTGTATGACGTCATCCTTTTAAATAATTAATATATTTGTAACCAGAAATATAGTAGGTATATTATGTATATTTAAATTATATACAAAATAAAATTGTACCTATACCTAAACATTTAATTTGTTTTTGTTTTTTAGGCATCAATAAACATTATACAACGTCAAGGCTGTATCCCAAATTACCTCCGATTGACTTCAAGCCTTTACCGTACAAAGTAAAGTATCTACTACCTACCTATTATATTTATTTTTTAAAGTAAACGTACATAGTGAAAATCATATAAAATGCATTATGGAAGGAGGTACTTAAACTGGATTATACAGTATAATTTATACTTCTATACCTACTCAATAAATCAATTAAGAGGACGTCACACACGCATATGGGTTGTCTTCGTCTTACTCACGTATGACATAGACAAGACTCGTTTACGTAATCTGAGTAGAAATCGCTCAATTTAGGTGTTCCAATAAAAACACAGTTGAACAGATGAAAATATTTTAGAGGGCAAGATGGTGGGTTTTATTAAAAAATTAAAATTTTGAAAAGTTAAAGGTATTTTAAAAATGTTGAAATTTTTGCTATTTCTAAACGATTTAATGAACGGTTATTGGGTGTAATGGAAAAAACTCAACGAATTTTCCTCAGAAATATTGTTACGATTCAATTTTATAATTGGTATTTTTACTCTAGAGCCAAAATTGAGCGATTTATACTCAGACTGCGTAAACGCGTTTTGTCTATACCTATCGCATACTAAGTGTGTAAGACGGAGACAAAACTTCCGGATGTGACGTCCTCTTAAACATATTTAATAATCGTATAGTTCTTTTTTACGGTTAGGGTGAATAACTTTTAATTAATTCAAACTGTGTTTACTAATCGATGTTTTAGCGATGATTAATATTATTTTCAAAAAGTGTCACAGACCACGAATTCGTGAATGCAATATTATTACATTATAACATTGTATTATTTCATTATTGCAGAATCCATATAATAGGTTTTTCATTTCTCCGTGTCGTAACTATTAAATAAAATAACCAATGCAAACGGTTAAAAGGATTCTCCGTATAAAGACTGAGATCTTAAAAAGTCAAGATATAATAAATAAATTGATAAAATAACGCATTTTGAAATAAATATTCAAAGTTTAAACTTTAAGAAAGCGTAACATGGGCATTAATTGATGTCTCCGTCTTACAGGTGACTATGTGAGTAACACTGATCACATTTACGCTCAGCAGATCACATTAGCTTTGTTAGTTTAAACATTTTTTTCTGTGTATGTGGGGTTTTTACGATAGTTCAATTTTTTAGCAAGATTTACCTGTATAATATACTAATATAGTATAAAATAAAAATGCTCATAACACACTTAAAACTGAATTTTCATAAAAAATCCGGTTACCGGTATTTTTCCCAAATCGAAATTCCCGAATGAACTTTTTCCCGAATAGTATTTTTTTCGAAAGTCCGTGTACCCTAAACCTTTTTCCAGAGCAATTTTTACCCGAACCTATATTAAGATTGATAATTTTTGCTTTGTACTCTTTCCTACGTAATTTTTGACATTCCCAGTAGGTTTTTCCGTTAGCTGGTAATTTAGACCGCACGTCAATAAAACCACCGTAAAATAATTTTGTTTAACCAGAAAATTTAATTTCAGTCATGATGGTAAATTAAAATAAAATAAAAATAATTTTGTATATAATTTAAAAAATTAATCCTCGTAATATTTGGAGACACCCAAAACCATATAGTGAAGGTGACAGAGAAATTAATTGAGTCTAGTCATAGAATGAACCTCGTTATCAATGAGAATAAAACTAAATACCTAGTAATGACTAGATATATCGCAAATACAGCAGCTCTTAAAGTAGGTCCATACGCCTTTGAGCAAGTAGACGAGTTTAAATACTTGGGAGTCAATATTAATACAAAAAATAATATGCATAATGAAATTCAGTTAAGAATAAGTAATGCAAACAAAGTGTATTTTGCTATGAATAGGATGTTCAGCTCCAGATTATTGTCCAAAGCTACAAAAGAGAAACTGTACACCTCCTACCTCAGACCGATAGTAATGTACGCATGCGAGACATGGTCCACAACACAGGGGGACAAGCCCAGATTAAGGGGGGCTCCAAGGGGGCACGGCCCCAGGGCCCATTGATTTTGGGGGCCCATATTTATCTCCAAAATATATTTTTTAAAGTATCAATGCATAATATTATACTAAAATTTAGAGGACCATAGTTCCGTGGAAAGATGGCAGAAGTTGATATGTACATTTTACAAACTTAGTTTTAACGCTACATATATTTTTAAATAATGACATATCAGTTTTGGTTTTTGCACATAAATGGTGTCACACGCATAATAGAGACATCATATTTTTCCACCACTTGAAATATACGATTTCTAAACTATTTGAATGATATTTCAAAAATTAAAAAAATGTACATATTAGCTTCTGCAATCATTCCACAGAGTTAATAACCTAGTGAACCAAAATTGATCATTTTACTGTCAAAATGTTCAGAAAAAAAGTTTTACCAGAATCCATCAAAAAATATAGTGGTTACCATTTGAAAAAAAAAATTAAATTTTATTATTAGGTAGTGCAACTGCGTGTTTAAAAATTTTGAAAATTTTATAAAAAAATTCCCGTTAAAAATAGAGAAGCACATCTTTTTTTTGTTTTAACGAAATTCCATATCATCGATCCATAGTTGTTAAAAAAAAGCGGCCTACAATGACATAAGATACATTTTGTATACACTTTGTAGGTATAGTAAAAATTATACAATAATATAAAGTCGTTAATATGTAATGATACAATTATTTTGAAGCTAAAGTTGAAAGGGGGCCCACTAAGAGTATGGTGTCCCGGGGCCCAATTGATTTTTAATCCGGGCTTACAGGAGGGATGATGAGAAGTCACTTCGAAAGAAAAGTTTTACTGAAAATTTAAGGACCTGTTCGAAATCAAAATGGGGAGTATGATAGACGAAATAACGATGAACTAGGAAGGTTATATAACAAACCAAATATTGGATTGTTCTTAAAAGCGAAACGATTAGAGTGGGCTGGCGATGTCTGGCGGGCTGGTGAAATTGTCATACGAAATGTCCTAATCTAAAACCCAACAAAAAAACGACCAAGGGAAAGACCTCGAAAGCGGTGGTCAGTTAAGAAAGATATTTCAGATACCGACGAGACAAAGCGATTGGAGGATGCAATGGACCAGAATGTATGGAGAAGTTTGGTTGAAGAATGCAAAAGGCCTTAATGGCCTATAAAAAAAAAAATTAATATAATTTACAATAAAACACAAATTTTATGGATATTTGAAAATGGAAGTATAACGAAGGCCGACAGCATGCGAATAACGCGACTCTACGATTAAAACGATGTGGTGATATCGGTGTAAAATACCAATCAGTTAAATGTTCATGTAACGGTGGTAAAATGCTATAAAGGCAAGATACCAGTACTTTTTCATAAATACTATTTTTATCGCCAACACGTCGCCCGCGTGCCGCGACTGAAATATCTCATTTCCCACCCTTGTCACACAATATATTAATTCAATTTTGAAATTTTGATTTCAAGAACAATAACCACCGGGAAAACTGCATTCAGGAAAAAAGGTTTCGGGTTTTTGGATTTTCGGGCAAAATGCCTTTCGGGAAAAAGTTAATTCTGGAAAAAAGGAGGTACCAAAAAATCTACATACAAACACAAATAATGTTCTTACTATCAACTTTCATAATAGGTCGATTCTCTCTTATATATATTTTAACTAATTTTTTAACGAAGCTAAACGAGACCTGCTGACCTTAAATTTGCTCGGGTATTTACTTGTAAGACGGAGACAACAAATTTCCGTGTTAAGTCTTCTGAAAAGTGATATATATATTATATTATTTTTTTTCATAAAAATAGTTTATTAGTTAAAAGTTATAAGATTACATAACCTATATAGGTACTATTATAAATCTTTATAATAAAATATATTAAATAGGTATATATACTTATATGTTTTAAAAAGATAAGGTTTTTTCTTTTACATTTTTAGAGGGAAGTTTTTGGTTTTAAGTATACAAGTGACAAGCGTTTAGAATGGTTTTTCGGAAATGCAACAATAAGCGGATATTAAATATAAACGTGTGTATGACACATTTTTATTTTCAGGGCGTTTCTTATGAAAAAGCACAGTCCATGCAATTGGACAATGTGTTTCCTCAAGTACAGATGTACGAAGAACCTCTACTTTTACATGAAGGTAAAATGCAATGGCTGTTCGATCACAAGGGCAAGCGGTACTTGGACATGTTTGGAGGCATAGCGACCGTTAGCGTAGGTCACTGTCATCCGTCAGTATAGCGTATATATAGGCATATAGCTGTTCAAATAAAGCATTAAACATAAAAAAAAAATATAAAATTTAATTTCAGACGAATTACTGAAGCAATCGCCGAGCAGTCGGGTATTTTGGGTCACGTGTCCGGAGCGTACGAGCATCCGAAAATGTACGAGTACGTGGAAGCGCTTGTATCAAAAATGCCAGGAGATCTAAAGGTAGGTCAGCTAGGGGAAAATGATAATATATATAACTCCTGTTCAATGATAATAGTGGAGTAAAATATTAATTAATTGCCCGCAAAGCTCATCACGAGGTGACACACTGACGACTGACACCGTTGTCTATCGATGCACTTTTTGACAAATTATATCATTTTAGACACAAACGGGGATAATAATATAGTAGGTATGTAGGTATTTCATAACACTTCCATCATCATGAATTAATGAATAATAGAATTATTGAACCAAATAAGTGAAGCTATTCAAGGCGTGGTCCAGTGAAAAATGTATATTTTTGGCATTTTTTTGTAAGTTTGATAAGACCTTCATTTGTATATTCTACATAATGTGCGCCTTGAATTTAAATTTTGTGTCAAAAGTAACATCAAAGTCTTTTTTCTTGTCTAGGAAGTCAGGAATGATACAATTATTATTTATTAATGATGTATTTATGCAGTATGGGTTGTTTTTTAGAGAAAATCCCAGAATTGAACATTTGTTTATATTGAGAATCATACCATTTTAGATTCTGAGTGGAGTGAAGGATCTAGTGGTTTTACAATAGTGTTTATTTTTTCTGTACACAAAATTTCTACCAGAAGGAGTGCTTCGATTTCAACATATCGTATCTTGTGTTTTTAAAAATTGGATCAAGATGGTACTTTAGAGAGGTTATTTTTCGCTTTTCTCAATAGTTATTTAATGTCACGGAAAAAACCAACCGACAAATTACAAAAAAACACTAAAATTGGATTTTAATTTCTCACTGTTTGTTTATCACCATAGAAACAAATAAAAATAAAAATAACGATTTTAGTAATTTTGTTGTAATTTATAATATTAATTCAACTTACAGGCTTACCTAATAAAATATAATAACAATATAAAATATCTAGACTGACAAACCGTCTTCGGTCAGAATCGTTTTTCGTATACAATGATATGATATCATTGAATTCAAATTTAACATAATCCATTATACAGTGACCCACTTCTCACCTACTGTACAGCAGAGTGACATCCATTTACCCGATTTTTTTGATATATATACAATATAATATACACTATACACAATACAACATTATTTAAAAACTTTCGTTTTTAAATCTATATAAAATATCGTTTGAACGTTTAAGACTGTGTACCTGGTAAACAGCGGTTCGGAAGCCAACGAACTAGCGATGCAGCTGGTTCGACTGCACACTGGAAACCAGGATGTGCTATCAATTCAGAACTGTTACCACGGTGTGTCCGGAAATCTACATGGGCTGACGGCATTGGCATCGGCCAAGTACAGCAACATGTCTGCTGGCCACTTCATTCACCACGCGATGTGCCCGGACGTGTTCAAAGGTATCTGGGGCGGGAAAAAGTGCAGAGACTCTCCGGTGCAGACGCAGAGATCTTGCGAATGTGACCGGGTTCGTTGTCGTGCAGCCGACAAGTACTATGAACAGCTAGAAGATATTTTCTTGTATTCGATACCCCGTGGCAAGGTGGCAGGGTTTTTCGCGGAGTCCATTCAGGTTCGATCTGTAATATATATATAATCACAAACTTATTACCGAAACTTTGATTTGAACCCACCACCAAATAAACATTTTTTTTTATTGATTAACCCACGGCAACTTAGGGCATTGGGTGGTTTTTAACTGTGGGGGAGGGTACTGTAGGTTAAACTCGTGTGTTTGTTAGTTTGGCAGATTTTTTAGTAGGCACACGTAGGTATCTACCATGCCCGGGTGGGGGATGGAGGCACTTCTCTCCGGAAACCGTGACTTGCCCGAAGGCAAATGCTGAAAACAATTTTGAACCGGCGTCGGTGCGTTTCACCTTAGTTCGCTCGGCCACTCGGTCCCCCTAAATAAAACTATGAATACATGAACAAAAAAATATATAATTATTTATACTATCTGAACGCAGACAACGGATAACTGATAAGTGATAGTAAAATACAAACATATTAGGTATATATTTTTATTTATCGACCAAAATATAAACGTACATATATATGTATGTATAAATTAAGTTTCGATAGCAGAAAACACAAAATTCATTAATAATAAAATTTATGTTTTATGTGATAAAATTAAAATCGGAAACACACTGTGGTATTAATAATACCAAAACTATAATTTATTCATTATTGCACTGTATTTTAGATTTTGAGTGGAGCGATGTATGTATTGATTTACAATGATGTGTATTTTTTATGAGTGTCTGATGCCACCTTTCGTGGCAGTAAAAATTCTTCGATTTTCTACTCATTACCTATATTTTCTGGTGAATCTAGTTGGTACACAATTGGGTTAAAAGTGAAAGATTCCCAAAAGTTTTCAAAAGCACCAAAAAAGAAACAAAAAATGAAAAACTGAGATTTAGTTTGTGATAACCATTATTGCACTAATATTATATTGAAGTACATTTTATTCTATTGTATCGTAGCAGGAATATTATTTTATCGTTGAGTGACGACGCACATCAGCACTCAATAATTAGTGTTTAACTAGGTAATAACTATATCAATTAGGTATTTAACAATATTGTGTGATGATAATATAATAATAATATTGTTATGAAACTGTATCTAGGTAGGTACCAATAAAGTATAATACCTACTTTTAAATGTGAGTATTAAAATATTATGAAATTATTTATTTTAATGTGCATGCATTTATACATGTACTTACTTGCATTAAACAGATCACAATAGTTGTACTGATAGGCATGCCCCCTAATTACCATAAAAGAGGAGGTGAGGGGATCAGCGAGTACTATGGTTCCAGGGCCCGGAGAAAAAAACATAATATGTTCATTGTTCATACATAATAACATAACATATTATTTTAAATTAGAAAATAAAATGAGTCTTGCCACCAGTCACCATATTATCTTTATACAAAATATTGTGGATAAATAATTTAATTTCTTATTACATAATTTTGTTCAGTGGAGAGAAAGTTCCGTTTTAAAATGATCTCGTTCCGTTAGGTACCAGTTTCTTAACATAAGAACTCGTTCCAGATCCTTGTGACCTTGTTCCTTATTCAAAGAAGGGATTTACTCCAAATCTAGCTCCTCTAAAAAAAGAACTAGATCCAATTTTCGTTTCTTTTTTATCCAAGTAGGTAGTTAAAAAAATTCTGGTCTTAGAATAATACCTTTTTTATTTATAATTTTAGGTCAAATGTTTCAATTCACCCATACCACCACAAATATGACCAAATTACTCCACTGCAGCGTACCTATAATATTGCTATAGCCTATATAATTATTTTATTTACGAGTCATTATGGATTCAAAAGGCTATACCTAATTATAGTAGTTTGACCAGTTGACTAAAAATGTTTTATTCCATAGGGCGTCGGTGGAATCGTCCAATTCCCGAGGGGTTATTTAAAAAGAGTCTACGAATTGATCAGGAGCAACGGTGGTCTGTGCGTGGCCGACGAAGTGCAAACAGGCTTCGGTAGAACTGGCGAACACTTTTGGAACTTCGAATCACACGGCGTCACACCGGACATTGTGACAATGGCCAAAGGCATCGGGAACGGTTTTCCTATGGCAGCTGTCGTCACGACGCCCGCGATTGCGCGGTCATTGAATTCGGGTTTTCATTTTAACACGTTCGGCGGCAATCCTGTTTCGTGTGCCGTAGGTGTGTCGGTGTTAAAGGTTAGCTAACCACCTACCTATATAATGACAATAATAAATATTATGACTGGAGAGCGCTCAAGTACCAAACAAAGTATGAACTTACTTACGGGACAGTATAATCACACACTGCCTAATCCCCATATACGTGTGGTGTGCTTCATGCTAAATATCGCTATAGTTTATTTACAACTATATTATACACTATACAGTTACCATAGACCAAAATTTAGATACATTATTGAATAGATTCGATAACAATCAAACTTTTTTTTTTACGAAAACATTTTTTCTGTTATTTATCGTATCGATTAAAGTGCATAATTTTAAATATTTTTGAAAACGTTATGAAGTTGCGGAGGGAGCCGATTTTGGTCACTATTAGACCAACCTTTGCCATTATTTTGAAAATAATTGGAAAAAATTTAATTAACTTAAGATTGATCATACCATTTATTCCGATGTTGGCTCTTATATATAAAACACTTAAAATTTGATTTTAAAATGTAAAAATTGAAGTAGGTAGGTAAAAAATTGGAAGATCGATTTAATAAACCTTATAACTAATTAGTATTTAGTAGTACCTAGTGTGTTTTCAGATTTTTTATGGCATTACTATTTTCCCGGTACTATGGAAAAAAGTACAACTATATATGATTTTTACTAGTTTTTAGTGAAAAATATTACTTGTCGAACACAGATTAAAAGGAGGAGGAGGCTCCGTCTTCTCTTTTACACGGCACTCATATGACGTTAACTTAAAAAAAATTCCCTATACCTACTGAACTTTCCTCCTTAAAAACGGTCGGTATATTAGACTTAGTTGATTGTTGTTGAATAGGTAACTTCTTAGGTCTTATAATATACTATTTTTTATAATAAATGATTTGACCTACGCGCTATGCTATGCATTTATTCGCGGGCTCAATAGTAGGTATTGATTTTGGTAAGGTTGTAGCGTTGTACAAGTACAATATAGGTAATATGTATACAGCAATAAATTGGTGTTCCAGGTAATCGATGAAGAAGGTTTGCAGCAAAATTGTTTGGACGTGGGCACATATTTCCTAGAAAAGTTGTGCGGCATGAGACGCGAGTGGAAAATAATCGGTGACGTACGAGGCAAAGGACTGATGATCGGCGTAGAGTTGATAGACGGTCAAGACGATAGCGACAAGGGCATAATAAATCCACTAAACTGCAGAGCTATTTCCCGTATTAAAAACGATTGCTTAAAAATGGGACTTCTATTTGGGGTTGGAGGAGTTCGATCAAACGTAAATATATATTAATATTATGTTATACTAGCATTGTAATTAATTAAAACGGCCTAAAATTCATTTTAGAGGTTATACATTTTTTTTTTTTTATTTCTTTGAGACCTATTAAAGTAACTTGTTATAGGTCATTTTTATTTTATATTATAGAAATAGATGGAACATTAGGTATGATAACGAGTGGAGCTTGTTACGAGGATCCTAATATCTAATCAATGTGTTGAACGATCACTCTAATTATTGGTTGTCCTCAGAACAGTACTTCTTTTTCTCTCTCATAAAAAACTTATTAGCTATCTCTCAATCCGTTTAGTACGACCAAACCAGATCCCCAGTCTTCGGGACAAATGTTCAGTCTATTTATATACACTAATAATTCTATGGATCTAATATTAAAAAGGTTAAGTTAAAATACATTGTAGCTTATAAAACAAATTCTTAAAATAACAAATAAATAATTAATTAATTAATGACAATTTATAACTTGTACATTAATTAATTAAATAAATACGTATATTATATGGTATGGTTAAAAATGTTTCACTCTACTAATTACTTTATAATTAATGATTATTGATTTATGGCAACGTTATTGCAGGTACTGCGCTTTATGCCTCCTATGTGTGTAACGAAAGCTGACGTGGATTTCACTATTGCAGTTTTGAGACGAGCTATGCAAAATTATTACGAAGCTAAATACCGTAATAATCTTTAAATATATTTTCATTTGTATAAAATTAAAATGCATTTCAAATTTCAATACATTGTGCTTAAAATATGTTATAGGCTTATTATATAACGCAACTATTCTTACTCATGTTGACAACATTTGATTATGTAGGTACCTCTTTATTAAAATATATTGCTTTATTTTTATATATAATTTATATTATACTAGGTGATTATCATGAAACACTTTATTTCAAAAACAATTAACATTTTAGAAAACATATATTTCTTTTACATATTTGTAACTTTTAAGTCATTAAAAAACAACATTTTTCATTAAATATATTTTTACTGTTATTTATATTATATGATATAATTTTTGTATTTTTACTTTTTTATGACTACCTAAGTGCATTTTTAATGGATTATTCTAAATCAAAATATTTTTAAGAAAATACTTTGATGAATAAAAATCAAATATTTGACGAGTAGCTTATGAATTATTAATATTTAAAGTTTAGATGAGTGTTGTGAAGCAGCTGAAATACTCATAACTACCCAATAATCTACTTATTATAAATTTGATTTTTACATACCAAAATATTTCAAATATGAAATTTTAAATGTATGTAATCGTACAAAAAAATTAAAACACAACGAAACAAAATAGAAAAAATATAATTTGTTTTTTAATATTTGCTAGCATAATATAAAAACAATTTTCAAAAACATTAAGGGTCGTTTCATAGTGGACGCTTAAGAATAAGTATTGCTTAAGCTATACTTAAATGAGATTCATAAACGAGACTTTGGCTTAAGAAAAGGAAAAACTTAAATTAAGATTGGTCGTACATACCTTAAGCATTGGTTTTAATTATCACAATTTTTTTTTTTTTACTATCAAAATTAGCTTAAGCAGTAATTATTCTTAAGCATCGAATACAGCCCTAATAATTATTGAAATAATGAGAAATTCAAGGAAAAAAAAAATCACCCTTTATTTTATATAATTAAATAATTGTATGTACATTGATAAAAAATCATAATAATATATATTCTTATTACAATATGGCATAATAATTTAAATCAAATTAAATTTGAAAAAAAATCATAAATGTATTAATGCTCTAAAATACACTTCCCGTCGTGGAGGTAACACCATTCTGGCGTCACTGTATCTGCTTTAAGACCGAGTGTTACCAGTCTTTCACGATGTTGTAAAAATCTACAGTCATATGCAAATATAATAAATAGTTATTAATAAGTATACGTCATATTAACTGTAATATAAGATTGGTAGAACTTTTATAGCACAAAACAAATGTGTTAAAACAAGAACCTAGATAGTTGTTGAATTTATGAGTTAAGTCACCAAGGTTATATAAATGCATAGAATATATTATTTTGTAAGTTATTAGTTTTAGGTTTTTTTCTTTCTATTTTCAAACTATTTGTAGTTTCAAGTATACTTGGATAATCTACAAAATAATGTGTTTTAAATTTTTATTATAATTTATAATTCATTATGCGTTGATTTAAAAAAAATTGAACCATTATTCGGGGTTGGAGTCAGGAGGTTGGATTATAAATAATTAGGTTACTCTGGTTACTCATAAAATCTAAGCACTATCCGCTTCATACAGAAGGCACAGTCGAATTTAACATCATGAGATTCGTACCTATACGACTATACGAGTACAATACCGACGAAGGAGAATTTCGCTGGCAGTATGGACACGTATGAACTTGAACAATTTAAAATAAAATACATCGCGAAAATTACGTGTCCACGAGATACGAATAAATAGGATTTAATAATTATCTTGTTGGTATGTTTACCTGTATTCAGCAGACGGAGCATTTGTTGTTGGGTTTGACCACAGTCGTTCAGCTAAAGCCGCAGCTCTTGGCCATACTTTAGAATCAACAGCATTATCATCGACATATTCAGACCACATGCATGTCTAAATCAAAAAAATTAAAATTAAAATATATATTAAAATGTTATAATTCAAATTAAAATATATGACATTTATTAAGTCTTACTTCTGCGCCTAATACAAGATTTGGATTATCAACTTTCGGCATTTTGTTGTTGTAAATCTGTTTCCAAGTATGATAATTAGTTGAAGTCCAAAAACCATGATCCAGATAATAAACATCCTTTAAGGCGATTATAACCTTATAGCCTAATTTAACGAGTTCAACTGGAATATTTGATCCTTCCCAAGCTTCAACAGTATATCTTTTTTTGTCAAGATACTTTTCTATGATCTCGGGTTCAGTCAAACCACTAGACCAAACTATTATATCGGAATTAACGTCACCAGCTTCTTTATCATATTCGCTTAACGAATTAGAATGGAATTGAGACCACAAGTCCAAATAACCTTCTTCGTCTAAGCTTCGGTTGTTGGTTTTCATCCAATTAGTGATCTCAGTGGTAGTATTCCAGCAATTTAGAGCAACCTATATACAGTAAATTATATTGAAATATTTAAGAACAATTTGTATATGACTTACCTCATCACCACCCATGTGGAATGCTTCTCCCTTTGGTAGTACATTGATCAAGTCCTTATAAATTTTTCCCAACCATTTATACGTGTTAGTATTGATTGGATTGAGCTGTCCACAAGGCGGCTGTACACAGTATTTTCTCCAAGGGCCTTTGTCCACACAAACAGCCATGTCGCCGTAACCTAATGCTTTACCCCATTGCCAACCGTTACCAGCGTGGGCTGGAGAATCGATCTCAATAATAATTCTTACTCCTCTGACTAATGCATATCTGAGAAGATCCTTAATTTCCTTGAATGAATATATTTCGTCGGGGCTATAGGCACCATATCTAAAGAGTAAAGACAAACAATATGAAACTCCAAATAAATTGTATGATGCATAAATTATAAAATTATTTATGAGAAACATGAAAAATACACTAATGCGGTGTACATAAAATATTTGAATAATGTGTAATTATATAATATGTTATTTATCTTATTGATATAATATTATAATATCATTGCTCAATATATTTTCATCGTTTAATTGTACGAAAACTTACTTCGACATTAATGGTGCGCTAGGTAAATCCAACGGGAAACTATGGGAATCAGTGGCGTGCCAATGAAATACATTTAGTTTGGAATGAGCCATAGCATCGATATGTCGTTTAATAGTTGCCATTGGGAAATAATGTCTAGCGGTATCCAACATAAAACCACGGTAAGCATACATAGGTTGATCACTTATTTGAACATTGCCAGCGATCACCAATTTTTTTTCAGACAAACTCGAACCATACGCAGCAACAAGTTGTCGTAAAGTTTCTAATCCATTTCTCGCTCCGTAAACGGTCTTTGCTTTGATATTAATGACTATCCGATCTCCTAAAAAATGTAATGTCAGTATAAAGTTTCAATTAGCATCAATCTATCTAAACCAACTAATAAAATACCCTCGGTGTTTGTTTTCAAGCTATAACTTTCGTTTGTTGTCAATTTGATATAATCAAATGGTGTACTTGTAGTTATAGATATAATTGGAGTAGTTGCATAAGAAACACAACTTGGGACGCAAAGTTTTTTTATGGACGATACAAAAACTTGAGTAGCTTCAGACATGTATTCTTTACTCAATTGGTCAGCCATCAACGATGTATCAAATTGAATATTATCGAGACCAAATTCGATTACAGATTTTCTATTGTGTTATAATAACAAATTAAACAATTACATATATGATTAATTTAGATGTTTTTTTTTGTGGTATTGACGACGCTGCCGGAACTGCTTAAGCATTACATCGACAGCGCTGAATTAGTTTAAATCTTAATAATATTATATTTACCCTATAGTTGTATTGACTGTTGGCTTCGGCCAAAGCGATCCATAGCGTCCACAGGTTAAACGGCAAACGTCTATAGATCCATCGAGCCCGCTGTTCTCTTTTTCCACTGATGGTAGTTTGCTGAAGATGCATGTATTGTTGATACATTTATATGATTTCCTACAAACAATCATTTAATAAATGTAACTATTAACTATATTATAATGTAGTTGTAGTCAGTAGCATATGCAGCATTTTAATTTTTTAATTTTTTATTTAAGCCCATTTAAGATGTAGTACAGTATTCAGTTTTTAAATTTAACAATAATATACAAAAATATATAGAATATTTGGATACCAGATAAAAAATAAAAACAATAAGTCGTTTGGCTAAGCAACATAATTTATTTGATGAATAATTAGAGTAGGCGAAATGAGGTGTCTAGATTGGCCTGTCTCATACAGCGAGTGAGAGGTTCATTATTCACTTAATCAGTAGCACATATACTGGTACAGTGAACGGAGCAATGTTACGGGTAGGGCGCGCAGGAACTCTAAGGCTAATATGTTGAAGGAGAGATTTTGGTGCGGTTAAGATTTTTCCTAAGATGAATCACAGACCAATGGGAGGGGGGGTTCATCCCTATTAACATTAGTTTGTTATACTGTTTTTAGATAATTAACTAAAACAAATTATAAAATTATAGATTTAGTCTCCAATATAGTCTACGTTAAGATTATTTACCCTGACCTTCAGTCCAAAATAAACGTTTTAATAATCGATGATACTGACGACGTTTAGTAATATGTACTTAACCGGCCCAAAAAAAAACTAAAAATATGATAAACGATGATATTGCCATTTTAGAATTTATTTTATACCTATTTTATGTCTATTAAAAATAACTAACAATTAATCTACTCAGTGTATTGATTATGGTGGTAAATAAGATTTTTGTTGAAGGAAGACATTTCAGGGGGCGGGGGTTAGAACCCTAGAACCTTACCCCTGTGAAAGCCACTGGTTTCCGTGGCTACTTATTTTCTATGGCATCGAATGCATGTTTTGGTATAAGCTATAAATTATTAAAAAGTATGCAATCGTGATCAAACAAAATTTATCATTAAAGGCATAATCCCCCAAAAATTAATTTAGCCATTCCCCCATTATATTTATAAAAATAAAATCATATATAATAAATATTATAACAAAATAATGTTAAAAATATAACTTAGAACATGATTTCTTAAAATTGAAAAAAAAAAATTATAGTCAATATCACTAAAACCTAACCAACTGCAAAGCGCAAACACAGGTTCTACAAACAGCTACACAGCACACTGTAAACTAAACATATTGTAGTTATCGGTTAGCTATTTACTTTGTCATCTTACACAACAACATTATCTGTGTAGACTGTAGGTAGTAGGTACGTAGGTTGGCTTTTTTACGATGTTTCAGTTTTCATACAAGTTATGAGTATCGGTCTAAAATATTACAATTTAGAAAATATCATTATATTATAATACTACAGGTATTGCCAACTTATCCAGGTTTTGTTCGCAATTGCAGTTTTTTTTAGTAGGAAGTTGATAATAAATAGGTACCTAGGTAAAACAATTATAAGAACTATAAATACATCATAAATATTTGGATGTATCTTTAGTCTTAACATATAACTATTAATTACCTACATTACATATCTTTACTAAACGTAAAGTAGCAAGAATCGTACAGATTCATAAAAAAGGAGATAAAACAGATTTCATTAATTATAGACCAATCTCAATAAGAAGGAATTCTAGCTAAAATCCTTGAAAAATCATAACAAATCACTTATTAGAATAGTTGGAGAGAGATAAAAACATATTTACTGCACAATACGGGTTTAGAAAAAATGTAGAAACAGAAGACACTTTAATTGACATTAATAACTTTTTACATAGCAAAAGGAATAGTAAAAAAAAAACATTTTAATTTCATTCTTGGACTTGGAAAAAGCATTTGGTTCAATCAGTAGATAATTATTGCTAAACAATTTAAAATAATAAAGCTTTGATGACAATACAAAAATTGGTTAAAATTGGTTTACCAGTTATCTGAGTAACAGGCAACGACTTACCACTATAATTGTCTATCGGATCTCATTACAGTAATCATTGTTATGTTAAAGATTATGGAGTCACTCGAGGTACATCATTAGGCCCTATATTGTGTTTAATATAATTTTATACCTGCATCATTATTAAGGGGTATGAATAGTATTGAACAATTCTATGAAAATGTATTTTTGTATTTCTAATAATATGGTTTCTTGAGCGGTCTGAGAGTAAATTCACCTATTATCAATATTGTAGAAGAGAAGTTATCTATGTCTATATAAAAGTCAATTTTTGATATATTAATTTCAAAACTCAATAATTCAAATTCAAAAAGTAAAATATCACAAATTTTAGAGTTAAATATTGGACATTGAAAACAAAATACCGAAAATCAACTGATATACAAACCTAGATAAACTTCTTTTCTTAAATTTATATAATAGGTGTTCATACTTCATACTGTAATGTCACTCAGTTAGCTATATTATTGAAAATATGAAACTAAGCAAGGCCACCCGCAGAAATTTTTGCCCCTGAGGGCGGCCTTCAAACTAAGTTTCATTGTTTCACTAAAATTCATATTTGTAATAAATTAGTGTGTAAAGTGCTACGATACTGACATGTGCGGGTGCGGTCAGCAATTTATTTTATACAAAGTCATTCACATTAATGATCAGTTACTGATCACTAATGATTACACAATTACACAATTGTCTAAGAAAATTGTCTATATTGAATTCCTTAGAAACGGTCGGTAAATTATTCATATTCACTGATGGCACAGCGCTAGTTAATTTTGAAGATAATTGGGAAAAATTGAAACATACTGTCGAAATTGATTTACGGTAAATCTACGACCAGATGGAAAAAAATCTGTTATCACTTAACATGAACAAATCGGTTTGTATGCCAATAGGTACTATACGTTACAGCTCCTGTTGGATATAACTTTATAATACATATATATGGAACTGACATGACAAATTGTAGTTGTAAACCAATTAAAATAGTATTGTCATTCAAATATTTAGGAGTGACAATAGATTTTAACCTAAAATGGTCAGAACACACAGAACACTAAAAATGAAACGAGGAGGTTAACTGTATTATTTTACAAAATTCGATTTCTTGATAAATCAATTATAAGACAAATTTACATGGCACTGTGTAATTCAATTCTATATTACGGTATAACATGTTGTAGAGGCACTATACCAGAACAGACATTAATACATTGCATATTACACAAAAAAATATAGCAAAAGTAGCATACTCCCTACCATTCAAATTTAAAACACACATCAGAGGAATTATTCAACCATACAAATATATTATCTATTTAAAAATTATACATTAGGCAAATTTTAGTTAAATCCATACAATTATACAAAACCACACACTCAAACTCAATGCTTCAGAAATAATAGACGAAGAACAGGAAAATACATTAAACCGTAATATACATTATTAACTATAGGTAGTTCAAGAAATTCTCTCAATTACATGGGGAAAACTACATTAAAAAATTTAAAAAGTAAAGAGTAATAAAAAGTTTATGTGAAATTCAATCCAATAATACCAATGATATAATTAATAAGAATCAAATAAAAAAGGCAATAAATAAAATAGTTAGTGAGCCAGATGCTTATAGCTCAGTTGGTATACGGATCAGCGTACAAGTATTATTAATGTAATTTATTGTAAGTATTTAACTGTAATTGTTTTGGCTGAATAAATACATAAATAAATAAAATAAAATATGATAAATAATAAATTTCTTTTGGATCATACAAATCCAAATATTGATAATTTATAAAAACACAATTCTTATACCTATCTACCATAAATACCAACATATTTTCAATGCACGATGCAGGTAATTTCAGTTACTAAACCAAAGCCTGAAGATTGTAGAAATAGGTATAATAATACATACAATCCTATATTATAATATCTATAATGAGAATAATGATGTGCAGTTACTCAATAGGTATATCAAGTATCAACAAGGAAAATGATAATTCTTTTATTGTGTTTTTAGTAGATCAAATCATAAAAATATTTATTTTTTTCCGGTTAAAGATACAATGAACTGAATGACTAATTTAAAGTTTGGGTGCTACGATGATGGGTATATTATATAAAAAATATGATAAAATACATTTAATCTTGTATTTTAGTTAATCTCAAAAAACATTAGTCGATTGCTAATGACTGCATTGAATACACCAATAATTCCCGTCTGATCATTAAAGTTAAGCAACGTCGGGCGTTATTAGGTACTTGGATGCGTGACCCCTTGGGAACACTTCGTGCGTGTGCCATTGATATTTTTTTGTGTGCATATATTATTAATTATGCTAGATTAAAAGCAGGTTTTATCAGTATAAATCTTTTTAAAAGAGTTATAAACATTTTGGCAAAAAAAAAAAGAAAGGCAGCTTTAAACTATTTAGTATTTTTTTTACCAAGCAGCTACCGATTACAACCGCACACACAGTACACATATCGTTTTAACAAACAATACCACCTGCAGCTCTAACATTAAAATGTACTTATTAGTAAATTTAATTTCTGATGATTAAGTATAATGTCGGTATAATGGTAGAAATGTATTAAATTTAAAAAAAAAGGTGGGTAAGTGGATGTCGATCTGCTGTACAGTAGGTTACAAGTGGGTCACTGTATAATAGATGCTATTAAATTTGAATTCAATGATACAATATCATTGTATAAGAAAAACGATTCTGAGCGAAGACGGTATGTCAGTCTAGGTTTAAGACATATTATATAAATATATTTTATGGTATTAAAAAAAAAATTGACCTATAATAAATTCCAAATTAATCATATCACAATATCCATTAGGTACTTATAACACTTTATACATCAATAACAAACCCTGATACTATCATAGATATATAATATAGTGTACTTTAGAAGTTTCAAGTACCCACGAATAGTATTATACACTCACAACAAAATAACTAAAATAGGTATGCTAGGTTTTTTAATATGTAATTTCGTCCCAAATTTGAACTTAAAATGACCATAAAAATAAACTGTGCTTGTGTATTTTTTAGATTTTTTGGTAACAGAATTAACTACTTACGTGGAATCTTGTTTTAAATTTTTAATCCTTAGCTATAAAAACATTTTATAATTTATTAATTACGATGATTGATAATTTTCGAGATTTTGAAAAATTCTGTCAAAATTCGATCTTTAAATGCTTATAAAAAAAATTGTGCCTATGTATTATTAATATTTTTCAACTGATATTGTAACAATATATCAAGAGCCTTGTATTACATTTTTACATTTTTGGCCCAACAGATAAAACTTTATTGATATTCATAGAAAAAAAAACTAAAAAAATTGAAAAATGAAAATATCCGTAAACAGCTCAAAAAGAGTAAAAATATTTTCAAAATTGTATGGTGTATAGGAAATGCTAATATGAACATTCAGTGAAATTTTCATGTATTTATAGTTATTCGTTTATGAATTACAACAAAATAAGGAGAAATCGAGTGAATATCCAATGTTGTAAAAATTTGAATTTCAAACGCTCATAGAAATTTAATTTGACTGTCCGGTAGAGATTTTTTTATTGATAAAGGTAGACAAACTTATGAGTAATCTTGTATTACATTTTAAAATCTTAGATTTAAAAAGAAAAATTTTTACGAATTCTTAACTCAAAATAATTTGCTATTTTTCGTGATTTTTCTATATTTTGTCAAATTTTGAACTTTAAATACTTATAAAAAAAAACTGTGACTAAGGATTTTTAATGTTTTTCATCTGTCTTTGAAGCAATATACTAGGAGTCTTCTATTAAATTTTCAAGCTTTTTCAACCAACAAATAAAATTTTATTGATATTTTTAGAAAAAATACTAAAAAAAAATGGTAAATGAAAATGTCCGTAAAGAGCTATCAAAATAATTTAAAAATGTTATGGTGTATAGAAAATGCTAATATAAAAATTCAGTCAAAATTTCATGTACCTACGGTCATTTGTTTAAGAGTTGCATGAAAAACCAAAATCGAATTTCTCGAAAACAAATTTTCTGTAAAAATCCCCGTTTTTCCTTAATTTTTATGTTGTTTTTTCCGGCTTGTGAAAACTATTGGGAAATTTAAATTTTGACCTCCTCAATGCACCAACGATATTCACTTTCGAATCGAAAAAGATACTGAAGTTGAAAATCGAAGCATTATTTCGACTACTTATCGTGTACACAGACACAAAAAAAAAAAAAATATATAAAAACACACATCATTTAAAATCAATACATTCATCGTTCCACTCAGAATCTAAAACTGTAATACTTCACCAATCATAGTTTAAAAATAATATTTTTTTTTCTTCTAAATTTTATAGTAAACTTGTATTGTAGTGAAATAATTTCAATACGATAACATATAGTATACGCGACCGGGGCTAGTCGTCACACGGGTTGGTTGTCACAATAGTAATAATAACTCTGAAACTAGATGGTATTTATATTTTATATTTTATGTTCGTTGTATGTAGGTAGACACTACTCATATTATCTCAATAAAAAAAATAGTTTTTATCTCGGCTATGGGATTCTCGTGAGTAATTTTTCTTCCGTAAATACATTTAATATTTTCCATTTATATTCACTATATAGCTAACGCCTAACGTTCTAATAATTGTTAACCTCACAAATAACTGTAACGTATATTTTGGTATGTAATTTTCGTCTGTTTTGATAATTGATATAACTCATTAAGTTAATTTGATATCAAATAGTGATTGAGATTTGTTGTCATAAAATGTGAAGGGTTCATTTCATCTGTTTAAAATGTTCAAACTAAATATGTTTAAATTTTGTTAAATTTTATTAACTTGTTGTTTTTTATTTATGGATTTAATTTATTTCTATCGAGCAATTCTAAATATGACATAAATTTCACATTAACAACAATTAAAAGTTTAAGTTTGATGTGGTTTATCATTTGATTTTTTACCTATTGATTTTTATCCATATACCTACCATTAATTTATACAATATTTAGTATAATATAATATTATATAGATAGTTAAATTATAAATTATAATAGTTCAAGTAATTATTAATGCACGTCAATACGTCATGCATCTTATATGTCAATAATAACAATTTGTTCCTTGTTAGTTTATAAAAACTACAAACATACATAATTGTTATGTATAAACTGTGTTTGAATGCAGAAAAAATGTAATTTGATTTAATTACGCATAAAGTATGTAGTATGACCACATGTTTGGCGAAAATTATGTATACAAATTATTGCTGAAAGTATATTTTTGCTGATTTAAAATTTAAATTGTTTTTTGTATTGTGTGTGTGTAATAAAATGTATAACAAACAGTAATCAAATTCTGAACGGAAATCGAATATCTATTTAACCCAGGACGGAACAACTATATACACCTATAATAATAGTATACTCATATAATAGGTAGTCATATTGCGGGCATCGGCCATCAACATATTCGTATGTTTTGAAAACGAAACGCGGACGCATCCTTCAGAAGTCGCAAATGACGTTTGTATAAAATTTAAGTATGTTGTAAGTTATAATGAGTGTGAAGGACAGCTGTCACAAATAATTAGTCTTAAAAAAAATATTTTTAAAATTGTATTTAAAAATTGATACAATTATTAAAATATATCCATTCAGAAAGTATTAAAATGACTTTTAGGAAAAGTTACCTAAATACATTTTTATCTGTGCAAGGGGGTACAAACAATTTTAATAAAGACCAGGCATGTACTTAATTTAAATTTTAAAATAAATAAAGAATCATAAAATAAAATAAAAGTCCATTTAACTTGAAAATTCGAACCATTTTAAACTATCAGCTGATATAGCTAGGGTATACCGTATACATATACCTACATAATACCTACTTAAAATAATAATCACTCTGTATAATTGGAAGCTAATATTACCAAAGTCCGATATTATGACAAGCAAAATACAATTCATGCCACTTTTAAAAAATATACAATTTTTATGTTGGATAGGTACCTATTGTATCTATTTATTATTTAAAATAATCTAAATCATTTAATTATTACATTTCTTTAAAAAGTTATATTTATACCGACTATATACTTAATTTGTTTTTAACATTTCTTAGGTAGGATATCCTGTAGGTACGATATTTTATTACACATTTAAAATGCTAAAATACTTTTATAAAAATATTATGGTGGGTGGGAAAATATCATGAGGGTCCTGGATTCATTTTCCGTAGAAAAACGGCATAAACCAATCATCTAATCGGTTCTCTGTGGATTTTGAAACTAAGTGTAGGATGCATACAACGTTTAATGTTAAAATATTATTATTTATTATGAATTATGATCCATATATACCTATAAACTAATGGACAGCGCATTGATAGAGAAATCACCTGACGGGATTGTTGAGAGAGAAAAGAGAGGTTTTGGCTGTAACAGTGTGCCAAAACATGTTTTTTATCTCTCATATGCTCATATGTTATGTTTTCTCTGTAAGACCTCAGTACCTCAATTATCTCGTCTGGATTAACCAAATGCAGGGCGGTGTGGGAAGCGCTGTCCATTAGTTTGTAGGTATATGTTATGATCTAAAGGACAAACCACTGAGCACGGACTCGGGTTGGCGGGTCAACAAAGTCGGCTGCGCTCAGCGGTCAGAGAGCGAACAGTGCGGCCAACCCGAGTAGCAACTGCAAGCAGCACGATTTAAGCATAATTTAAGATAGCAAACAGTTGTTTAAAATCTATGTAGCAAACAGACGGACGACTGTTAACACTTATCAGTACACGAGTGACGAGTGACTTATTTTTCTATGGGTCAGCTACGGGCCGTGGTTGACAGTTGACACGGTCGTACTGTCGTAGTCCGGTATTCGTTAGTCTAAACTGAATACCGTAAATTACAGTTTACGGCATTTGTCTTAACCGCCAAGGTATTTTTCTGGGCTTTTTTTCTGCGATTCGTAATTCTGATATCTGAAGGCGTCTGCAGCAGCAATAGCGGCTGGAGAGGAGGGTATAAATTGTTCTTGTAAGGGGGGATACGATATCGCTCCCGCGGTATTAATTGTATCGCTTGTGCGCAAAATGCACATCCATTATCACAAGATCTGTGACCTCACACCTGCGCATTTCCCGCTTATCTATCACGATGAGAGCGCGTCGTCTTTGCCCGGGACACAAATACACAATCAACAATAACAAAAAGTCAAAAACAACAATGCGCCGTGGTTGTCATCGATGGAAAATCTTCGTAATAACGATTAACGGTAACACCATGATACTCACACGAAGTACGAAACTTTTTCGGCGGTGCCGTCGTCTTCGCTAGCGGCGTTCTGGCGCACGACCGCGGTCAGGTACAGCAGCATCACGCCGGCCATCAGCGTGCATCCCGCCATCGTTTTGCGTCGCTTTAACACAAAATACACAGAGTAAAAAAACCTCATCGCATCGGTATTGCGTTTTACTACGGTTGCGTCGTGATTACGTTATTCGGTGGTCGCTGTTTATTGTGTGCCGTGCGTTGACCGCCGCCACACTGCGTTCGTGCGGGGCGCATCGTTGGCGGGAGGCGGCGGTGTCAGCATCGCTACGTCCGGGCCGGGCCGCCCGGCAATGATAACGAATAGTGAATACAATATGTCAACATGTACTACAGAGGAAAAAAACTATATGACCTAACTTATGGTATTTCTCCGTTGACCGACCCGTGACGGTAGCCATAGATGATAATGTTATAGACGCCTGTCTGGTATTATTATGTGCACACCGTCATACGCATTGGTGCCGATTCGAAGGGTATCAAGAATTTCAGAATCATCAACGATTATACATTAATTATACCTGATGACGGTATATTAATAAAATAAGTCTAAAAAAGTGAAATCAGTATTTAAAAAGAAATAGATAACAACCAACTCAGCCAAAACGAGTTTTTAAGGCTGTTGAAACCACGAACTAAGATATATATGTATATCTTAGTTGGTGGTTGAAACAATGAAACTTGATAGCGAACCAAGACAATATTAGGTACTGGTCTAGTTGACCCCCGCCAGGAAGGCAATTCCCCCGCCACTCAAGTTTAGTACTTGAGTACTTACCTACATCTCTGGTATTTTTTATTTTTTTATATTTTTATTTTTTTTATTATTACCATATTTTTTATATTTTTTTATTTTGATCGCTTGAATTATTCTGGATAATCATAAATTTATAATTGTTGTCATAATTTTTAAAACACTCATTGGTCTCACGACATATGCCACCAAATACCCATTGCTGTGGCAGTATTCGACCAGCATTATTTTTGAGTCTAACAAATAAACTTTCGTTGATCTCGACAATAAATTTGTCGGAAATTCATTTTCTTTTTGTTCAGATGACGTCAACTGAATAACTGAGGTAGGTACTTGAGTACTTCATAATATTATATACGGCACCCGCTGTTATACCTATCTTAGGTATATAATTCATTTTACTACAAGGATTTTAAAAAATATAATTCTTAAAATATCTAATTAGAGAATTTCACACAAATACCTAACGTTAATGATTTCGTACCTTTTTTATCTGCACTCTGCAGTATATCAGTATATTCTACATTATATATTATATAACATCAAAAATACAAGGGACGTAGGTAAGTGGCGGGGGTCAACTAGACCAGTACCCAATATTATTCTATATCCATCGTGAGTGATGTGTGAGCGAAGAGTGTGTGTAGTGGTAGTGATTGATCATTAGTGTGAGTGAATTCCCTGAACACTTTATGCTAATTGTATAAGACTTTATGTAATTAAAGATAAACTACGGGTAAGAAAACGCCTTGGAAATCCGTTAGGTTAGGTTAGTTTTTTTTCAAAATTAAAATTAGACTTCTGGATGTACATTTTTTCCGCTTATTGGTCTAAATGTACGAAAAAAACGACCAGCTTTCAACAGCCTTAATAAAATGATTATAACCAAGTTACATTAATATATATATTAATTAAGGTTAAACGTGAAAAATACTCATATCTTGGTTGTCAAAATAACATACAATATATGATTGTAGAATATAGATCATAATATTTACTCGAATTTAATTATCTTCATTATTGTTTTTTTATGATTTAAAAAATAAAAAATTATAAATTTGAAAAGTTTTCTGTACAATTGGTTTTACTGTTATTAAGTTCATTAATATGACGTCGCACCCGCATGTGTTATCTCCATTTTATACACACGTACCTACGACATATTTTTACATATACATTTTCGTTCCCATATTTCTACATTTCGTTATGAGCACCTATTTAAAACGTGACTATTTGAATATGCTCATAATTTACTTAAAAATTAAAATATCGTAAAAAAACCAACGAGAAAACACAGACATCGTTTTGTTACCTAAAATGTTGACAATAGGTCAATTCACTATAATATCAAAACTGACACTACACTATTGAAACTGGTGAACAAAAATTTGTTATGTCGTCTATGTGTAAAATGGAGACAACACATACAAGTGCAACATACAATATATTGATTTGAAATAAAAAATTGCAATAAGTAGGTACGGATTTAAATATGTACATGATAGTTATCTTTAATTTTTAGTAGATACCTACTTGCTATGATAAATATATTTTTTAGTTTAAAAAGGACATATTTGTTAGTTAAATTAATATTGGTTATAAGGACATAATATAGGTATAGGAAAATATATTATTTTTTTTTAATCCTCTAATAGTCTAGTGGTTATGGTGTGAATGGTTTCATTTAGGTAGTCTTCAGATTATCGATACCTACCTTAAACAATAATATATAGTTACGTAGCTGAATTTTTGAATAAGATATTATAATTATAATTATGAGGTATTCATATTCACTATACTACTAATTACTTACTAGGTATTAAAAAAATCTGAATTATTAAAATGTTTAAATGTTTATGTGATTAGGGGCTGGCTGACGATAAAATAAACCTATCATTGTATACCTAATATATTAAGTACCTACACATTTTTAGTTAATGAATAAATGAACATTTTTTATCCGGAAAATTATATTTTTTAAATATAAATGTCAAATGATAGGTATTTAATAAAGTAATCATTTACACATTACACATTATACAGATTTATTCGAGGTAATAATATATTCTGCTGACATTGACCACTAAATTATTCAAGTAATTGATTATCATAATAATAATAATAATAATAATTATTATTATTATAATATTACATTATAATCATTCATGTTTCCTGTTACAGTGTTACCTACCGGCTACCGGCTACCATACGACCGTACAGTTAATAATTACATAATATCAATAGTGTTAATAAGGGGTCTCTATGCGTATTTTTGTCGATACCAACACATCTAATGTAAATAACTAAATTATATTGACAAAAGTATTGAAAACAACAATTTAAATTGTAATTTTATCGATTGGTATATACTTATTTTGTGGTTTTAAGTAATAGAAAATAATAAATATACCTTCGCAGCTATAATTTTAATATCAAGTTTCTAAAATTCAGCTGGACACAATTTTTATTTTTATTACTGTTACTGCGACGGTACCATCAAGACAATAGAAATTAACAACTCCCGATGCAGTGTATGAGGTGTGACTATGAGGTGTGAGGTTAATAGAAATACGCAAGTGTAGAGACTAGACAGACTCATATTTATGCAGTGTTTAACATGTATAGATACGACAAAATATTTTAAAACAAATAGCATGTTTAACATTGTTATGATGCTTTATTTCTATGATTTATATTAAATTATATAGTAAGATCATACATTAATATAATGTATACGTACCATACGTATCTATAATTGTCAATGGGTCAGTTATCGTTTTATAAATTTAATAATTTTATACTTAAAAATATGTTATAATATAGGTAAATAACTATAATATAGTATTTCATATAATGAAAGACATTTTAAACGAACCCATATTACAATATAAAATAATAAGTTATGAATGATTTGGTTAGTTTGGTTAAGGTTAGTTGATAATGAAAAACTTTAAAATTTACTTACTGCTTGGATAACACGTATTATTTCTTGTAGATATACTATAGGACGTATACTAATAACCTCTTTCAGACTTCAGTCATTGGCTCCGGTCGCTCCGGAATACGATTGACGATTGTTCAAGAATCCGTATACCGGTTTTATTTGTCATAAGCATTATTTTAGGTACGTGTATGGAAGGGGTTAGAATATTACAGGACCATCAATGCACTACAATAACGATAATATATTTTATACCTTTATATTATATATAGTATAAGATAGGAACTTTGTAACACGTTTAAATAAATAATATAACATGACTGCTTTAGTGCTTTGTTTGATATAGTTATACAATATAGGCACCCGGTCGTACCCAGCTCTGGTGTAGCTCGTAATTTTTGCTATACTCATCAAACCTTTTTTAGCGAGCCACTATAGGTACAAACAATTTTTTTTTAAATGTCTTTAAGGGCGTTGCATGCGGCGATTTGTTTTCTTTGTCTATAACACAGGTGGAACATAGGAATAACGACCTAAGCGCCTGACAAAAATTAAGGTACCTACTTATACTATTATTGTGAAATACTGAAAGGTAAATAATAATTTATTTCCTTTAAGGGGATTCGATAATGTGATTTTCTGTTTTGGTCTAACACAAGCGTGACATAGTATTTTAGACAAAGGTGGGCAAGTTAATGAAAATATTTAACTCAAGTTAAGTTAAGTTAAGAGGATACAAGATCGATAAGTTAAAAGTTAACAGTTAACAAATTATAAATTTAACTCGATATAAGTTAAAAGTTAATATAGAAAATAATATTAACTTAACTCAGTTTAAAAAAAGTTAATCTATTTTTTTTTAATTAGTATGTATAAATCCCATACATAGTGAATGTGTCTTTCTAGTTTCTAATTTATAAATTATAAAAAACAATTTTATTGAACTTTTATCATAATGTACACTGTATACCATTTTACTTTTACTTTACTATTATTTACTAATTTAAACTATACTCATCTCAAATTAATAATTTAACAAATATATATTTTTTTTAGCAATTGTATGTCATAATTAGGGTTCTGAATTTTAAATATTTCAAAATTGAAAATTTCGCTCTTCTTGGAATATTTCAATGAAATTACGAAAAATATTTTCTTTTTTTAAACGTGTTTGGTTATAGATGATTAGAAATAATATATTGATTACACGCTTAGAAATAAAGAGCAATATATTATTTTTGTTGATTTATTATTTCATATTTGTATATTTTATATGTAGTGCTAAAAAATTTCCTAGCATTATTTTGAGAGTAAAAACATTTTTTATATGAGTTTTAAAATATTGTTGTATGCGGACGGTCAGTCAAAAGATAATGGTTTG